GGACGAAATACATGAGGATGACGCTTGAAGCGATATATGGCTCTGAGCTGTCAACCAAACAACACGGTTTCTGTATCCCTTCTGGGGTGTTCGCATATCTAAACAAGATTCGTTGTCCATCCATTCTGGGCATCCTGCTCGATGGCTGCAGCTTCAGACGGTTGCCGATATGCGGCCACGAGATAGATAGATACTTTTGGCCCTTACAACTGTAAACAGCATCGGGATATATGTCTATGTCCGTGTCTGTATCCATGTCTGCTGCGAGATGGAAATGCCGGTCTGAATGATCCATCGGCTACGTATGTTTGTAGCTAACCTCAATGCGAATAGCTGTATTCTTACATAGTAGACTGAAGATCGTGGCTGGTGATTTGTTTATCATACTTAGTAGTCTTTTGTTCTCCCTCAAGTATCATGTTGCTTCGTCAACTCCCTCTCTAACTTTATCTCTCCAGATACCGTTGTCTCGCAACATCATATCATCTCTGTTTAAGAAATCTGGATTTGATACATCATTTTTCTTGTACTCTTCAAAGATGGCTAAGTTCCAGTTGACAATTATGGCGTTCATCACGTGTAGATATGGAACCCCCACAATCTCCACCTTTTATGTACATTCGCCGTCCTTTGATTCTCCTCTCCAAAGCGTCATCCCACCGCCCAAGATCTATTCAGTTGCCCGCTCTTCTACACTATCTGACCATCTACCTGTCTGATATCTTAAACCTGTCTGTCGTAACATATGAGCTGCAGAAGAAGAAAAAAACAAGGGTCCTCGCACGCAACAAGTGCCACTTTGCCAACCCGCCCTAACCCACACTCTAGTCCCACAATGCTAACCATTTGCCGATGCAAAAGACGACTATGAATTACCCACGTTAGCTAACCGACGCATCACTAAGAATTGCTTCACAGATACCCTTGCAGGCCTTTTGCGTGCGTGTGAGAGTGAGAGAAAAAAAATCATCCTTTTTTTCCGGGCACGCGCGCATGGAGCGGTCCGCATGAGTATTTTCTGCTCAACCATCCTTGCTCTTGTTACAGGTCACAATCACATCTTTGTTCGAGGGGTCCTTTCTACCTTGACCAACCAGAATCCCTGTTATGTTATCCTCCTCCGACTGCTTGGGAATCCAAAGCCCGAGGGAGGACCAGGGCAAGGCCAAACCTAAGACTGCATTCGGATCATCGTCTCGGATTTACATTTGCATTCGCATTCGCTGGGTTACGGTAGGGATGGTGGCACTCGATCGGAATTTGATCAACTCCCCCACACCCAGACTCGCGTTGCAGTTGCACAATCAGCGGTTTCGAATGGCTGACAGAGAGAAGAGGGAGGCAAACAGGCAAGCAGGCAAGCAATAAACACCTGCTGCATACGGTATCCTATGCTGTGTGTGCTGCCAAACTGCTTGACCGTGTCTGATCACATGGCACAAACTGATTCAGCCACCAAAAGCGCTATTATAAATGCTTTGTCGGCAAATCTTACTTCAAAACTCGTCTTGTATTATATCACTTTCCTCTGTCATTGGGCTGGACCGACTAGTAGTAGGTAGTCATGGGCGGGCCGTCCCTTGGCCGTCTCACTGAAAAGACCAGCTGACTTGTGACAGCAAAGCCACCCATCATCATCATCATTCCCTAGGTATGTACTAAGGTACATACAAGTCCACATGTATGTACATACCCTACATGTACATGCTAGGCTGCCTGTTCTCAGCGCAACGCTAAGACCCTCGTTCACCGCGCTCCATGTTTACCACTCTATGGCATGGTCTTCTTTGCTTCCACAACTATTATACAGCGTTTTAAGTCATGGTAGGCCTCAGATCTGTTGATGCGTGACCCCTCCAGGCTTTTCCCTTCTGGGGTTAGCAGCCTTATCCCACAATCAAGGGTCCAAGTCGAGTGGTGCCACTGAATTGCACCAGTTGCATATCCCATCATGAGGCTGACTGTCAACTGTCAAGGGTCCAATCCTTTGGGAATACACCGGAGTATGCACTGCACTTTCTTCATTCATAACATGTGGTTGTGGCTGACGATAGCATACATGTGTGTAACAAACAGTAAGTAACAGTGAGCTTACTCTGTTGCTGGAGGCTTGTATCATAAGAACCGTCTACAAAGAGTAAACCCTGCTCAACTTGCAACTCAAACCACCCCGTTTTTGAGGCATATGTTACAGCTTCATCAACGTCTCCGGCTTCACCCGCTAGTTGTGCTAACTAATAATTCTTCTCGAAGACTGACTGTCAACGCGTTACCTAGACGGCGGCAAAAATTTGCATCACAGTTCGCTGGCGTAACTCCTTCCAGGGGTCTCCCTTCTTTCTTAGCGTGGCGGAGTGACATGAATATCAAACTTCAAACTTTCGGTCAACTCATCACAGCTTGACCCCTCTTGAACCCCTCTATTGGCGTCGTCTCATTCTCGGTTGATCACTCGGATCGAAAATGAAGTAGCAGGCGACGTCGACACCGCTGATCACTGATCACAGGGTCTTCATCGACATGCAACACCTTAACTCATCGCACAAGCTTCCACAAGTCAATTGGCAGTGTTGTTCGCCTCCTCGTGGCCGCCGAAGTGTGGGTGCACTGTGATTGGCGTCGGCCGATGTTGCCTGAGATTCCGGACCGCTGTCCGATATGGTCACGGGGTTCGAGGCGACGGGTTCAGGCTGTAGTGTTGCTGAGTGAACTCCGTACGCGTGGAGACACTCCATGATTATCTTTGCCTTGTCCGCAAAGCCCTCGAGGGTTCTATCGTCAACGACAATGTGGGCAGTGGCGACAGATTTGCGCTGGTCCAGTCGCCAGATATGCAGTTCATGTACCGACTCGATCCCAGTTATCTACATGCTTGTTAGTTGACCATGGACTTGTAAGATGTACCTCTTCTCGTGAATAGATGTCATCACCTTTTCAATGTCATGCTTGATGTCTTCAAGATTGATGCCCCTCGGTGCAGTTTGTAACAGAATGGCGCCGCTGTTTTTGACAAGTGGCACGGCTGAGGCAAGAATCATGAACGAGATAAAGACTCCAACTGCAGGGTCGGCATAGTATCTTCCTTGCCCTTCAGCCTTCCAAATGATGACCGCTGCAATTATGACGCCAACGTTGTTTATGGCATCTCCTAAAACGTGAATGAACACGCCAAGCATTCCCAGGTCTCTACCTGGGGATTTGATAACCACCGACATATGCCTGTGTCCGTGATGGCTGCTTGTGGTCTGTCAAGTCATGGTCAACAATGGCAATTCTATGGTACGGGTCAAGTTAAACTCACAGGTGTTAAGGGGGCCTCGCACACACTGGTTGTATTATGAGCCATCAAATCAGTATTGTGATGCTGCTCCCCATCGCAGTGGCTGTGTTGCTCATGTCCGTGATGTTCATGTCCATGATCATGCTCTAAAGGAACAAGTAAGCGACATAGTAATAAGCATAGAATATAGCGGTGTTCTCTCACCGTGAAGGAAAGATAGAACCAAAATGTTGAGGGCCAGGCCGGCGCTACCGACTATCAAAATCCATTTTGGCTCCTGGACGTGCACATCTAAAAACATCATCAGCATCGATCAATAGGTCTGCCATATGATCGAATCACCATCGCGAGTAATGCTCACGAATCTTTCAACGGTCTGCACTAGGATACTGACACCCAGCGCCAGGAGAAACACGCCGTTGAAAAAGGCGCCTAGTATCGTTGCTCTTTGCCAGCCGTACGTGGACTGTTGCGGTGCTGGTTTGGCTCGATCTTGCAACTATCTTGGTCAACCATCGGGACACTTATGCCCAGGCATTCCAACTCACCACCAGCGCGACCAGGGCAACGATTATTCCAGTAAGATCGCTAAACTATTATTTGTTAGATTTGAAATAATTGATTTGTGTCGTGGAAGTGTACGTACGTAGTGAAAAGCGTCGGCGATAAGTGCGATGGAATGAGTGTAGAAGCCAACTGCATGTATGTCAGGCCAGGCTTTTATGGGAGGCTCGGAGAGAAAACTGACCAGATAGCTCAGCAGCTAAGAACGAGAATGATAAGCAAATTGTGAATATCAGCCTCTGTTTCTTGGAGATTTTCATCTTGGTTCGTGGGTGTCGGATTGTTTTATGTCAGTCGTGTTGCATGCGTGCGTTCTTGGGGCGAATTGCTCGGTGCAGAGTCTACCTAGGTATAGATCTTGTATGTCAAGGGATCGAACTAGAGAGGATTTCAGTCCGTTTTTATACCTCTCCGGTCATCTCATACGACTGATTCTCTGCGCTCGCGAGGACTAGCTGAATATGCGAGAATTCGTGAACATGCACACAAACAGGGGGCGGTTTGTTGCCAGCCGCCAAATATGCGCACAGCAGAGAACCAGGTTGTGTACAATATTCATATATATCTGACAGCTGCCGACTCGAATCAGATAAGCGAGGCACAAAAAGAAAAAACTGTTATAAAGTAGTTTATCAAGGTTGTTGATTCATGTCGCTATCCGCCATCGGGTTGCGGAACGATTGTTCGGGGTAGCTTTAACTCACCGAGCCGAAGATGGGATACAAGCATGTTTTTGGGATGTTTGAGTCTTGTTTCTCGTTACACGGCATGTATTTGTGGTCAAGGTTTTTGCAGCGCTTGGGCAAATGGTGTTCGTGATGATTGCAGCAATGACAAGCTGGTGCCTACGGGGAAGCAGCTTATCGAAACATGATTCTTCCAAGAATCAGAGGCGTGTTTCATCTTACCATACAAAAACATTGTTCCATTGCTCTACTGTTGTTCACTCAATTTCTCGCTGGTGTGATAGAGTATGCGTACCACCTTTGAGACTAATATAGCCCAGTATTGTGCTCGATCAGACTACAACTATGTTTCCTACTTCGAAGACACAGGTGAGGTTCTCGTGTAATGTACGAAATTTCGAGCAAACTAAGACCTTGACTCATTTGTAGATGACGCATCAAGCTTCCCAGAAAATATATACCGTCAAGCCCTAATTCAACCCCTCACTGTTAATGCTATTCTGCAGGGGTAGACTTGCATCCTGAATTAGACCCGAGAGCTCCTCTTCTACTGCTATGCCTGCCATCTCATCATCTTCGTCTTCCTCATCATCATCCTCGCCGCTATATGGCATTTCCCCTTCTGGGTCGGTTTCGGAGTCTATGTCGATGAGTGTACCATAAGGTAGGAAGAAGTCATTGGGTAGCAAATCGTCCTCCATGGTTTCGACTTGTTCTGGCGTGGCACCCTTCCAAAACGCTGTAGGTCCGGCGGGCCCGTGAACGTCGTAATCACTGAAGTCACAGTTAGTGGTTTGTTGACACGAATTGTCCAAGTTCATACCGGTCGAACCAGTTTCCCACAACACCACGAGCGGAGCGCACGCCTCCTATTTGGATACCCTCACTGCGCCAACGCTCAATGCCATGGAACACCGAAAAAGTCGTCCATCTCACTTCGCCTTCTTTAGTCAAGCGAGCGGTACCTAACATCGAATGTGTCATGTTAGCCTCAAATGGACTTTCCGATTATACCCCTAAGTCACGGGATTCTTCTTACCTCGGATATCAGAGTTTGCATTGTTGTCAAAAGAATCGTCTAAAGAACGAGATACACCTCGAAAGTGGACCACGGGTAGGTCCTGTCCGTCTTCGGGTCCTGGTTCCTCTATTGACGTGACGTTGATACGCATCATGATGAGACGGGTCGCTTCACCCACATCGAGTGTGTGTCGCGGTGCATCAGGTGCGATGAGATCACGGCCTCCGAAGTTGAAGGCGAAGAAGTCGCTATAGTCAAGAAAGCAAACAATCTGAAACCTTATCTGTTAGTTTGATTACCGCACAATAGCTGCTTGATACGACTATAACATCATTGGGGGACAACGAACGCGGTACCATGTGCCTGTGACGCTATAAGGGTCCCGGGCCTCAAGTGAGGTTATGTCGCGAGGTGGAGGAGCCATAAAACTGTTTGGGAATGATCCCGAAAACGGACTGTCCCAAATCTCGCCGAATATGCGTGCCACCCGGCTTCTCGAGCCAATGTTGTGGCCTAGGACGATGAGGATGGCCTCGACTTTTTCCCAGTCAACATTGAACGACCCGTCATTCATGAAGGGACCCCAGCCAGACCAATCAGTGTATTCGCGTAAATCATACACCTTGGAGCATGCATAAGGATACGTCCTGGTAGACCGAAGACGGCCGACATTGAGTATCGGTTTTGAGTACAGGCAGTGAAGGTGGGCGCTCTTTCGCTGGAGAGCACGGTGAGTGTGGTCAGTTGACGTTGGTGCAGAGGCGTTTTCTCTGTTGACTTGACGGACTTCATCCCGTAGACGGTTGAAAAGAGATGAGCCCTGGAGAAAAGCCTCTACTGTCTCATCTTTGCTGAACATACGTTGAAGGAGAGCTGCGTTGCGTGAAGGAGCCTGTGTCGTGGAGAATGTGGTTGTGTCATCTGGAGAAGGAGAAGCATTTTTGAGAAGGCGAGTAACAGTATCGTAAACAAAATCAAGTTCCGATTTCTAAATGATTATCAGTACAGCTCGCAGGTGAAGTTTGGAGTGAGGTGGTTATTTCTTTTCTTTTCTTTTCTTTTCTTTTCTTTTCCCCTCAGTCGCATCTCACCTGCTTGTACGCCTCTTGGCTGGTACATATTCTCGCTAGGTTGACCAAATCTCGGATCTCTTTCTCGTAGTCCAACTTGGAGTCACTTGGTTCATCCTAGAGGGTCAGCACTCGTCTCGTATTTTTACGGTAAACCAAACGCATACCAGTTGGTTCAGGTAAACATCGCGATAGAGCTTCTTGGAGTTGGTTATGTTCTTGAAAGCTGAACAGACACGAGGTAGTCTCATCAAGTCGGCTGGTTCAACCCATTGCAATATATGATGCAATATTTCGGTCGGAAGTTGCAAAATTGGTTGAGCAGTAGGTGTTTGATCCATTATTTGATCTTGAACTATTGTTGCCATTTTCTATGTGTTATTTTTGATGAGTTTGAGATGATTCAAATAAGGCTGTTGCTATTAAATGTAATGACGACAATATGGGATACCGAAGCTTAATAACAGTTGGTAGGCACTGAGACGGACGGAACGGGAACGGGCTGGCATTGAGCGTCGGAGTTAACTTTGGGTGGGGTAGAAAAGGCCGTTGCTTACCCTGCATCGACGGTATAAACGCGACAAGTCAATAAAGACATCGTCGCTTTAGGCTGATAATGATCAACAAGAAAACCTTGGTATAACAATTGATTATGGTCTAAATCTTGTCGCTGTCTTCTAAATTACCCCATCTAATTGCGCGCCTACATCTTGGCTATATCGGCATCAATGTTGACCTTGCCATGCTCAGCTGTCGCTAGCAGTAAGTTGTCGCTTTTTCTCCTCATTGATCCATGCAGAGTCGCCAGTTTCCGACCAATCTGAGTGATAGAGCACTCAATGAGCACCTCAGTCCCAACGGGAACAGGTCGCATGTAGGTAACATTAAGTGTTCGGCTTACACCTAAATGCTGCCAGAAGCCAGGCTTGTTCACCAAAGCGATAGGTAACGTTGTGCACCAGTCAAAGAGCGTAGCCGCGCAGCCACCATGAAGGTTTTGTAACCGGTTGCAATTGTCGGGCTGAACTGTATAGGAGAATACACAAGATGGGTGAGGGCCCTCAGCGTTGCTGGAGACGAGTTCAAGGTGAGGAACGAGAGTGTTCATCCAATCCTAGATTCGGTTCCATGTTAAACGTCTAAGATTTGTCGTGAATATAGGAAATACTCACTCCTTGTTTAGAATGACCGCTCTCGTTGATCGTGAGTTGAAGCCATGCTCTGATCTTATCTTCAGGATTGCCCTCTTTTAGGGTCTTGCGATGGTCATATATGGGCTTTGATTCGGGCATGTTGTATTTGAAGGATGTCTTGACAGATCGGCAGCAGGAACAAATGGTTACTATAAAATACTGAGATATAAGCAGTTCAAGGAGAACTATTGTTGTTACAGTGATACAGTAGAGCAGAGTACCTCGGTTCGTGGTTAAGTTGCTGGTTATTACCCTTTTCAGTCAAGTTTAGTTGAACTACCCCAGAAGCCGAGGCATGGAAGGCAGTTCGGAGAACCAATCCGACGTCACAAGCGTTATCGCAAATAATCTGGGGTCACTAACAAATTGAACTCCACTCTAGATCGGTCTCCTTCTTCAACTTCCGTCCCCAGCTAGGTACCTATCTATCTTTGCATTTATCGCCATCAATTGTAATACTTAATTCATCTAATTTCAACTTCTCTTTCTACAGCGACAGAAATAATGGAGTTCGTCACAGCCCTCAGGGGCACCTTCGACGAGCAGAAGCCTTCGCTCTTCGAAGTTCTTTCCGAGCAACAGCTCAACGCCCTTCTTCCGCCGACCCTCCGCTACCTCCTCACCATCGCGACCCATCGACACCCACGATATCTCCTTAGAATACTAAACTCATTCGATGAGATATATGCTGGAGTAATGCTACTCGTTGAGCGTCATTACTTGCGCACAAGAGGTGGCTCATTCACGGAGCACTTCTATGGCCTCAAGCGCGAAAAGGGCCTCCATGCCGAAGTTCCGCGCGCGAGCATGTCATCTCCTGACATTGTCCGTGAAACCCTAAAACTCACAACCAGAGACGTGTGGAAGAATTTGCTTGTCATTGTCGGCATTCCCTACCTGAAGCGAAAGCTTGACGAGAGCTACGAGGTGAATGCGCCAAGAGCGCTTCTCGGCGCGGCATACACGCGAATGCCAGATAATCCGACGCTTCGTGACCGATTCCTACACTATTACCGATGGTTCTTGAGGAACATATACCCAAGCGTGAATGCTGGCTACTACTTTGCCATGCTTGCCTTCAACGTGGCGTACCTGTTCGACGGAAGCAAATATCACAACCCTCTTCTGTGGTTGATAGGAACACGTATACGAAGAATGTCAGGGGCTGACTACAAGGCGATTGAAGCCTTGACGCAGACACCCGAGACGGGACACACGCCGGGATGGCGGTCCTTGTTAAATCCTCGCGAAATGGGACCTCGCGTCTTGTCAAGCTTGTCGATTTTGCTACCGACAAGTATCTTTGCGCTCAAGTTTCTAGAGTGGTGGTACCAGTCAGATTTCGCAAAGCAACTTTCGCGAAAAGCGACAGAGACCGTTGATTTACCCCCGCCCGTGATATCGGCAGATGGTAAGGGAGGGTCTGATAAGAAGAAGAAAGACAATAAGGAAGAATCCAATGAAGAGGGAGATGCGACCCTTTCAGCCGAGGATGCACCCATTGCCACTCCCTCGCTGCTCCCTGTCTATACTGTTCCCTTTCCCAGCGACTCAGCATTGTGTCCTATTTGCGTCGATGAGATTGTTACACCAACAGCCTGCCAAACTGGCGTGGTCTATTGCTATACGTGTATCCACAAATGGATTGAGGGCCAACATCAGAAGCAGGAGGATTTTATGGAGACGCGCGAGGGTAAGTGGGAGAGTGGCCAAGGGAGGTGCGCAGTCACAGGAAGAAGGGTTCTGGGCGGAACCGAAGGCCTAAGGCGGATAATGGTATAGAGAAAACGACATTTATTGTACAATACTGCACTGCATGCGTCACAAAGGAGATTGTTTCTTAAAGTTGGTCGGCGCGCAATGTTCGATACCCAGGGTGTTTTGGATGTCTCACCCTTTTTTAATTCAAATAGAATGACCATTTCTCGATGCGGGACGATATCGCAATTGCATCTCTGGGTTCTGGAATGTATTAGTGTCTCGCTGTTTCATTAAACGTCTACTGTACCTGCATTTGTATACTATCATCGACGCCAACCGCTTGGTGTCTCACCTTGATTCCCGCCGTTTTGAGGCGATTTAGAAGCCAGCCACACCCTGGGACAGAGGGTGAATGAAATGGAATGTATAAGATGGCGCGCAAAGAGGTCTACCTTGACCTTTCTGTGGCGACTTACGACATGGCCACGGCTACAATGACGAGCTAATGCAAAGCATTACATTCTCTATGACAGACCCTGCACAATACTATTGGCTTGACCAAGAACCTCATGGTGTCTCAGAATAGTGTCACGACCTCTTGTCTACTGGGAAAGCATATGCTTTCAATCGCTTTCCAACCACTGCTGAATTCCATATGCGGGTGGTGTTCACCGTGTCAGGCAATAAACCGCAAAAGAATTAAAGATGCACTGCTGCCCGCGGTTGTTAAAGATGAAACGACTCATCTCTTCTGACAACTTCTCAACTCTTGTTCTTATCCCGTCTCACTGTCTTTGTGCTCCGTGATGGCGTACTCACTGGTTACCTCCTTCATTGGAGAGTCTCTTCTCTCTGGCTTCGAGTGGTTCAACGGAACTGATCTTTCCAATGGATTTGTACAGTAAGATTGTTCAACACAGATTTTGACTGACTTGTTACTAACAACAAAATAGATATCAGGACCTCCCAGGTGCCTTCAAAAATGGGCTATACTCTGTTGATCCCTTCAGTGAAACCGTGCAGCTGAGACCCGATTCTCGTCGCAAGTATGGGTTGGATGAAGGACGGCCAAGCATTCGACTTGAGAGCAAAGAATCCTACCAGTATGGCTTGTTCATTGCAGATTTCCAACACATGCCCATTTCACAATGCGGTACCTGGCCAGCCTGTAAGTTTTGATCAATCCTTTGCTCCAGGTTCGAGATGTGAACTGACACGATGGACCCAGTCTGGGCCTACGGAGACAATTGGCCTATGGGCGGCGAGATTGATATCCTTGAGGGTGCCAACCTTGCCTGTACTAACATCATGTCTGCGCATACAGCCGAGGGCTGCATTCTTGATCCCGCAGACTCAAACCTCTTCTCCGGCATACGTCGCAACCTGGATTGTGGTGTTGGTACAAATAACGTTGGATGTGGTTTTAACCCTCCTGAAAGTGACACTTCCTCCTACGGTGATGGCTTCAACGCCATTGGCGGCGGCGTATACGCTATGGAATGGGACTCAGAATACATTTCGATCTGGCATTTTCCAAGAGGAGCGATCCCAGCCGATATCGAGGCCAAGCGACCCGATCCTAGAAAATGGGGTTTGCCACAGAGTCTGTTTGGCGGCGCCAAGTGCAATGTCGATGAATATTTCAGCGATATGAAGCTTGTTTTAAACATTGTGAGCGATAAACCATTTAGTTTTGATAGTGACCTGCTAACTGATTTGACCAGAACTTTTGCGGCGACTACGGCGAAGGCACTTGGGGAAGCTCCAAGGTCTGCAAAGCTCTTGCGCCGACTTGTAAGGAGTATGTTGCGAACAACCCTACTGCATTCAGGGAGGCGTACTTCGATGTTAGCTACATAGACGTCTACACACGCCTTGGAGGAGAAATACCACCAGTCCTTCCATCGTCTGCTGGCAAGGCATCTACACAAGCCTCAGATGTTATTATCCCCGGAGCGTCCGCCACCAATACCCCAATGTCAGGAAAACCCGTGTTCCCAGGCACAGCTTTCCCCGGCAACAGCACCATCACCACCCGTACCGATCTCAAGGAGAAGGCTACACAGTCAGAGGAACCAACGACTACTACCACATTGACGTTAACAGGCGTCTCGTCAATTTTGGTTACTATTCCCGGCTCTGGTACCGACGCCCCAACTGTTACGCCTCTTCCCATCGCTACTGGTGGTAAATCAGTCAACCCTTCCAAGATTGGCGATTATTCATACCTTGGCTGCTTTGGCTCACAGACCGGTTTCCAGACTTTCGACTTGGCTGATGATAGTGATGATATGACTGTCGAGAGATGTGTTGGTGCCTGCAATGGACTGACATACGTTGGCCTCTTTGAGGGGTAAGTCACTGTATCAACGTATGAGAAAGTTATAACGATTGACATCCCTGATAGAAACTGTTATTGCGCATCTGTCCTTGATGGCGACACCCTTGCTGTCAGCAACGAGACCTCATGCAATCGCCCTTGCCCTGGAGACGATAGCCAGTTCTGTGGTGGAATGGTCACTCAGAACACCAGAGCTAGGTTCAGACGAACCACTCCTCTGCGCCGGGACGCACCTAGCAACGCTCTCCTGACAATCTATGCCGATATTTCTGACGTTGAACAACCCGAAGTCCCTCCTGCTATGGGACCCGGTACCAATGGTGCCTCCACCGATAACGGCAACAGCCAAGGAGTTTCGGCCGCTGATGAACCAGAGGACCCTACTGCCTCGGATGACAGCACCAGCCAAGGAGGTTCAACGGCTGATTCCACTACCTCGGATGGTGATGGTTCTCAAGGAGACTCGACTACTAATGAACTAAATGATTCTACTGCCTCGAATGACAACACTAGTCAAAGAGGCTCAGAGTCTGATGACTCAGATATTCTTGTTGTCTCAAATGACAATATTGACGCATCGCTTGCTGGATCAGCCTCCTCGGAATGGTCAAGCCCTAAGGGAAACTCAGACGATGAAAATCACACAGGCGACCAAGATGATACGGACAGCGACTCTATCTTGTCCGATTCCGCTAGTGTGGTCGTATCTAGCGATCAGCATGCTGCTCCAGTTGCGGCTCTTGGCTCCGCATCTGATGGTCTGGTTCTCGGAGCTGCCCAGTCTGCCGCTGATTTCAACCAAGAGCCAGTCTTAAGCACGATAACGTACTTTACCGGCATGCCCTCCAACCCTGGGTCACTGGTTCCTCAACAGAGCATTATCGCCATCTCGTACGAAAAGTGCGATTACTGCGAGACCCCTGAGTTGATCAAGCCGCCGATGGAGACGAAGGTCGTCGAGTGTGACGGTTGTGGCCCCAATGGTGAGGACACCGTTACGTTGACCGTTCCAATCTCTGTTACCGTCACTGTCCCTGGTGCAAGCACAGAACAAGCACAGCAGACTGAGAACGCTGCTGCTGAGGCCGTCACATCGTACGGAAGCAGTCCAGAACAGCCTCCGCGTAACTCCACTATTCCCCCTGTGGTGCCGAACGGAATGGGTGGCGATGTAGAAGACGGAGAGTCTCCCGAGGTTACGACTATTGTGATAACATACTTGACAACTCAGTTCGTCAAATATGGCACCTCCACAGACTCGGTATCTACTGTGACAAGGACAGCTCGAAGAACAGTTGTTGTCACTATTTCTAACTCTGGACAAATGAGTATCCTGCCTGTCCCATCCCCTGGACACCCAAACACACCAGTTGCCCTTGCTACACCGACACCTGGCGCACCTAGTCAGCCGGTTGCTGTAGCTGCGGCATCATCTAGAAGAGATGATGTGTTTATTTACTTTGCCATCGTGGCGATGGCGATTCTGGCCTTGACGTTGTAAACTGGGTCGGTTTGAGGTTTAAAATACTGTGCATAATTCTTCTTTTTCCTCTTCTTTCTATGGGATTTAATAATGGGAACACAGGATACATAAAAACATAGACAGAGCCGGATGGGGCTTGATGGGGTTATCTATATCATGTGTGGTTGATATTTCCTTTGTCCTTGTTACGATATATTAAGCTTAATACGAGATAATACCACAAGATCATATTTCAGTTGTTTATCTTGTACCCTCAAAGATGTCATTTATTAGTTCAGGAAAATGGACAAATTTGCAGATATATGCGCGTATATATAACGAGCCTTTTTAAATCTCAACGACAACGGCCCTACTTTTAACCTTGCCCGAGTTTCCTTTCATCTGAGCAGCATTAACCATCAAGCTGCCATTGTTACTTCCAGGACCCGACATGATCCACTTCCAGGCCACGGCGTGAACTCCTTGAGCTAGGAAGCGTAAATAATCGAGCCAAGCCTCATTGGGGATAAAATCTAGAATTGGACCACGACGGGGTCGCGACATGATACGCTCGTATGTCTCCTGGAAGTTATCAAAAAAAACAGATTCTTTGCCATATGCATAATGGACGTGACCAAAGACATGAAGACGAGGCTTCACTCGCCAGACTTCGCGAAGGAGGTTGCTGTCGCCCAGGCCAAGATCAAGATGATGTTTCTGACCTGTGTAAGCTGCAAGAATCTGAAGGCGAGAAGGATGTCTGGATCTTACAGGAGGACAGTGTGTGATGAGGATATCAGTTTGAGGCGGCACCTTGCTCAACCAGGGATGGTTATCAGTAGCATACTGGAAACTAGAAGCATGCATCATTAGTTTCATTCCTTTGATTAGGTAGGCATATACTCACGCAAACTCTTTAGGGCCAATTTCTGGGATATCAGGCACGCCAAAGATATTGACAGTTCGACCCTTGACTTTTTGTACAGTCAAGCCACTCTCAAGGTAAATAAGACCGTCCATGTTAGGCTTTGCGCCTGAGCGCGCATCCTCTTCAGGGCGACTCTTTTGATCGAACCAGCTATCATGGTTACCTGCAACGACAACTTTGACGGGATGGGGCTGTTCCTTGAGCCAGTCGAGCTGCTTTTGAATATCTGATACGGTGCCAGCATCTGTGAGATCGCCTGCATGAATAAGAATATCGCCCCTGGGAATGTCGACTTTGAGATCGTGTGTGTCGGAGATGCAGACAACGTGAATAGCGGGCTTGTTGCGAGGCGGAAGAAAGGGACGACCACGGAGAAGGAGTACAATGTGATAGAATAAGTAGGCGATGTATGTCAGAGGTGATGAGAGGAAGTGGTCGATGAGAGTCATGGGCTCCCATTGATCACGGCGCCGAAGGCCGACATAGGAGAGGAGACCCATGGTATGAGATGAGGCTCAATTGAATAGAACTAGATTAGATCCAGTGCCTTTCGTTTGTGTGGAGAGCTCTACGATTGGGCTGTAGAGTAGAGTAGAGTAGTGGCTCTAGCTATAGTGATAACTATAGCTGGATGTGAGAGTGAAATGGAATTGATGGACGGATTGGATGGATGTTAGTGGAGTGAGCATCATGACGAAAGCAGTGTCTATCCGCTATAAACGGCCCCACATTGACGCTAACTTGACAGCAACCATCCCATTATCCATGCGCGCCATAACTACCTAGATACCTTTGAGTTAGTAGTTCTTATGTTCTATAATTATGAGATCGGAGACGATGGTTTATTAGATTTCTAGTTGGAAATAGGTTATACATGATGAATTAAGAGTAGCTGGTTGATTTTGTACACTAATATCAATATTTGTCGAGGTATTCACAGTTCAATTATGGCCTGGCCACTTAAAGCACTGGTGGCGATTTTAGCATGTGAAAGCCACTGGTATGCTCCAAGCTTGAGTTGTATCCTAAGTACTAAGGCAGATAATAAGTTGTCAACAATTCTTCCTTTCGAGGTTATGGAAACATAAACAAAGGTTCATAACATCTGTTACCACTGACTGGATACGCTATGGACATATATCTTATTTATAAAGCGTAGAATATCCATCAAAAAGACCCAAGCACAGACCATGTCCATCAACAAAGTTGAATCTAATGGTGACGTCGCTCTAAAACTCCCCCACTTGAGCACTGAAAACTGAAAGCTCAAGCTAAAGCTATAGCTTCCCTCAGCTGGAGTGTCTCCATGGCTTGGCTTCCATGCTTGGAAGAGCTGCAGCTAAAGCTTGTTTCTCCAACATCCATTCTTGTCCACATCGTCATCGACCCAACCTAATTGGATTGCTCAATACATTTATCCCTGTTTTGCTCTTGTCTTCTTCCAGTGTCGATAACATCTTCTATTAACCTCCTCTCCCTCTTCTTCCTCTATCTTGTGGCATCATCTTCCTCTGCTCAATAGCCAAGTAGGGCATCAACTACACCATCTAACTTTGCCAAACATGTCCAACCTTAAGGACCTGTACGGCCAGTCTGGCGACAAGTCTCAGGCCAGTAACTTTGGGTGAGTAGCAAACGGCCCCCAAACTCAATCATCATACCTAACGAATGCAGTGTCGACTTTGTTATCCACTACAAAGTCCCTCCATCAGGTAAGCCCTTGGCGTTCAAGCTCGACAACCTACATACGTTCTAACACGACGACAGAACGCGCTGAAGCTGAAGCCGGCTTTGTCCAACTCATTCAAGCCCTCACAACCGTCGGTCTAGCCACTGAAGTCCGTCATGGCAACAGCGATTCCCTCCTTGTCTTCGTCAAGATTGCCTCCTCCGATCTCTTCGCAAAGCAAGTCTACCGTGCCCGTCTCGGAGACTGGCTCCACGGTGTCCGAGTTTCAGCTCCCCCGAGCGATGTCAACCAAGCCCTGGAGGATGAGCCCGTTGTCGAAGCTGAGCGACTGCGCTTGATCTACCTTATGATCACCAAACCTCGCGACGAAGGCGGCGCCGGAATCACAACCTCCAACTCAAACTGGAAATACGTCGATTCTGTGTTTCCTTTACACAGCCACAACTTCAACAAGCAATGGATCAAGAAATGGAGCAGCAAGTCTACTCTAGAGCAGGCTGATATCGACGAAATTCGAGACAAATTTGGTGAAAGTGTAGCCTTTTACTTCGCTTTCCTACGATCCTACTTCCGCTTCCTCGTCTTCCCCGCTGGTTTCGGCTTTGTCGCATGGCTTCTGCTGGGTCAATTCTCATTTCTCTATGCCTTGCTTTGCGGTCTCTGGTCCGTTGTCTTCTTCGAGTACTGGAAGAAGAAGGAAATCGACTTGGCCGTACAATGGGGTGTCCGTGGAGTGTCCAGCATTCAGCAGGCAAGACCCGAGTTTGAGTGGGATCGTGAAGCCGAAGACCCTGTCACTGGAGAAGCCGTCAAGGTTTACGAACCTATGAAGCGCATCAAGACTCAGCTGCTCCAGATTCCCTTCGCATTGGCTGCCGTTATTGCTTTGGGTGCTCTGATCGTCACCTGCAACTCTCTCGAGGTCTTCATCAACGAAGTCTACACTGGCCCCGGCAAGCAATATCTGGTGAGAATAACGACTATTACTCTTCGCCATCACAGCTAACACATATCCAGGCGTTCTTGCCGACTGTGTTTCTTGTTCTTGGCACCCCAACTATCTCCAGCTTGCTTATGAGTGCTGCAGAGAAGTTAAACTCTATGGAGAACTATGCTACAGTTGATGGTGTGTAACCAACCACCTGTATCCTTAACCAGGATTTCTACTGACATCCAAAGCCCACGACGCTGCTCTCATTCAAAAGCAATTTGTACTTAACTTCATGACCTCTTACATGGCTCTCTTCTTCACAGCCTTTGTCTACATTCCTTTTGGTCATGTTCTGGTTCCGTTCCTCGAGTTCTGGAGAAAGACGGCTCAGGTTGTCACTTTCAGCGACAAGCCACTACCGACACAAAACTTTCAGATCAACCCTGCTCGGATCAGCAACCAAATGTTTTACTTCACCGTCACTGCCCAGATTGTTAACTTTGTTACAGAAGTTGTCGTCCCTTACGTCAAGCGAGAGGCGTTTCAGAAAGCCAAGGAGCTCAAATCTAAGCCCAAGATTCAGGATGACCACGAGGAAGAGGCCGAGTTTCTTGAGCGTGTGCGCAAGGAGTGCACACTCGAGGTGTACGATGTCTCGGGAGACTACCGTGAGATGGTTATACAGTTCGGTAAGCTGACGTTGGCAATCTCTTGTGAAACCAAATATCTAACAAGTGCACAGGTTACGTTGCCATGTTCTCGGTTGCTTGGCCATTGGCAGCTTGCTGCTATCTTGTCAACAACTGGGTTGAATTGAGATCGGACGCTCTCAAGATTGCCATCAGTAGCCGACGTCCGATTCCTTGGCGAACGGATTCGATCGGTCCCTGGTTGACTGCTCTCAGCTTCCTCTCTTGGCTCGGAAGCATCACCAGTGCTGCTATTGTGTACCTTTGTAGTGGTGCCCGAGGTCATGGTTCTCATGGCACGCCGTCTCCCTTGAAAGCTTGGGGCCTGCTTCTGAGTATTCTTCTTGCTGAACACTTCTATTTGGCTGTGCAGCTTGCAGTACGATATGTTCTCAGCAAGCTCGATAGTCCTGGTGAGCAGAAGGAACGCAAAGAGCGGTTCATAATGAAGAGAAAGCTTCTCGAGGAAAACATTGGTCAAGGTGCATCCGAGAAGGCTTCTGTTCCTGGTATCGACCAGAGCGAGAAGATCACCCGTGCGGCTCTAGAAGAGGAGGCCCGTCAAACCTCCATTCGAGGTCACGGAACTCCAGAGGAGATGTGAGTGGACTTGAACCGATTGTGGTTATGTGTGGGAACTAATACAGGATATAGGTTTTGGCAACGTCAACGAGGCATGAACGAAACCATTGATGTTGGACGCAGAATGATTGAGCAGCAGGTAAGTTGTCGGAAACACAGGTTTTGTTTGGACGAGCTCAAGCTAACAATCATAGAAGGTTGCTGCCCAGAAAAATGGACAGAGCAAACCTCCCGTCCCAAGCGTGAAGGCTTCCTGAGAAGCTTGGCATAGTTGAAGCAAACAAAAGGAGATTTCTATGACTTTGGAAGAAATAAGCGATAGGAATTGGTTGTTGAAAGGGTGGTAATAGCATACAGGCGATTACGAGCTTATGATTGACACGGATGGCTTTATTCACATAAACGGAGTGCCTTTGTTCTGAAATAAAACATGTTTAAATACCATTGTCTTACCACTCCTGTCCCAGTCATAATAGCAAGATTTTACCTAAAAGAAGGACGAATGTCGAAATATGAAGACACGGGCCAGAAAACGCCACGGCAAGGCAGTGGTGAGAGAGGCTGCAGAAGAGGGGGAAGTTTGGCACGTGTGTCACTATAACAGGGCGAAAGAGGCTGTGCTGTGATATCATGACTGATTGCGGTAATGAGAGTTCTATTGTCTGGACTCATTATCAAAATCCCTCTAAGCTATCAGACTTTGAGGAAACCCCATCGATCAATCAAAATCTCCTTGAGACAGACGTGAACCATAGACTGTTTCTTCGACTGATGAAATGATATGCAAGTCAACTGTTGGAAACCTTTCTATAGTCTTGACAGAGACATCATGATGCTTTAGGGTAACCTAACGCACGTTCTCTACAGATCGCAAGCCCGCTAGGATTCTTCCAAACTTTATATATCTCGTTCTAGTTCTGCGTTAGGACCCAACTATCCCAGGGACTTGGGACTCAAATGAAGCCCCGAATGATCAGCGCCGTCATGTTGTATTTGGATCTGCAATGTGCGTGATCCGGACTGCTAGGCTACCCCATGATTGTCGTGATCCACATTGTGGTGTTTCTGATGGACCCAGCCTCCACGATATGTTTTATCAATAAAACAAGAAGAAAAGACCGGACCATGTTGTCACGGTCCTCCCATCCTTATGTTACTCACTGCAGCCATATGGTGCTTGATGATTCTATGCACCGGTTCGCAAGTCGGGACTAATCTGTCGTAGCCGCCATAGGTAGTAGCTAAGTACTGTGTACCTATGAACAACTTCAGTCATTCAATTCTCACGAATTTCGATCAGAAAGAGTCTCCGTTCAAAACCATATCCCCTGACTAGTCCTTATTTCCCCTGTTTGTCATGCCTGTTACCGAGAGTATCGACCGAGGCCTTTGATTAATTGTCCACTTTAAGGAAAGGTGAAGTATAATCTGCTGCACGAGACAATGACACTTGAAAGCAAGTCCCCCAATCCCGTTGCACATATCCGTCAACGTGGGCAGCGGCAAGTGGAGAACCTCCGCCTTTTTATCACTTTGAAAGGATTCAACCCTTGTTTGCGCTAGTTGGGACCAAGCTACCTATCACTACAAGTTAGCACCTCTTGAACCTAATCTGCTGGAGAACAAACTCATTCGAGAACCCAGATATTATGAGAACTTCTGGATCTAGAGCTTCGGAGATGGCGCCATGGATATCTTAACTCTCACCGGCGCCCGGCTCCCGGTCGGCCAATCGTGTACTACAGGCGCTCACATGCTGCATGGCACCTCGTCAAGTATAGGCAACAAAGACCACAGAGAGGGCTAGTCTTGGGCCAGGCTAACCCTAGGGCTACTGCACCGCTGTAGATTCCAGCTTTCAGCTCATGTGCTAGTCTAGTGTGCCTTGGTGAGTGCCCGGTTACTTACTGTATTGTACCGTACCGCCAACAAGCCAGGCCAGGCCATGCCATAGTAAAGATACAAGATCCCCTTGTTGGTCTGTTTCATTTTCTCTTCTTCTTTCATATCCAAGTTAGTCACCAAGAACCTTCGTGGCTTTCTTTGCCGAATCTGCCCTGTCGTGTGATGATCCCCCCTCTTCATTTTAACCCCCCAGTTTGAGTCCCTCATTGACTTACACGCCAATACAATTCTCCCTTCAGCAACTTCTTCCCACCACGGAACTCTTATTTGATCGCTCTTCGTTGTGTATTAGTCGCAAACTTGTCGAGTTGACCATGGACGACGTTGTCGACCTAGTTATTGGACCCTTTCGAGATATAGTCGACAAGGGTCGCGAGGCGATAGAAAATGCTGGCGATGATAAGACAATGCTCAAGGCATCGCAGAGCCTGACCAAGGAAGGTGAGCGTGCGCTCAAGAAAATTGAGCCGTTATGTCGAAAGCATTTGGACGAGTACGGCTCCAATTTCTTAGATTCTCTCAAAGAAAACGGTAAGTTTCAGGTTTATTTTTCCATGGCTACAAGCTGGTTGCTCTTTGTTGCCATTGCTGGAATATCGTTAACTGAGGTTGCCCACATAGATGAGATTGCTTCTTTTCGAACCGAGTTGAACGACCTGCTATGGGAATTCGATGACTTTATAGAACTAGACGATTTCGACGCTGAAAAGTTCACGGAATTGCAGGCCCTCTCACGTAAAGTCGCTCCCAAGATATACGATATCCTCATGCGCCTCAAGCTCGAGGTTCCGATTGACCATGATAGTCGCTCCATAATGACTCGAATGTCAGGACCACAATCCAGACCTATATCCCCTGACGCCCCTCCGATCCCACCTATATATCCTTTTTCAGACTTGACAAAAGATACGCCAAGAAGCGCTTCTTCAGTCGCTTCTGAAAGCCGCTCTAGCAATGGTCCTCCGACGGTAGAGGCAGCCACTGCTGAGCTGCGACGCATGATGCAGTCTCGATCAGGACCCGACGAAGGCCTATATGCTGAATCTCCAGGAACCAGCCATACGCCACAGTCTGCACTTACACCCGTGGAACCACCCCCACGACCTCCATCCGGTAATCCATGGGACTTCAACGTCAAGCCTTCGTCGGTGCCCCGCGACAACCATTTCTCGGATGAATTTTCCTTCGAAAGAAGGCAGCCTGTGGCTCCAATTGAGTCACCCATTGAACCAATCTCGCCACCCTTGAGCCCAGATCAAGGCAGCGAGCTGCGTCCGCGCCCACTCAAGACAGTTGTAGACCGATCATCTCAGTACAGCAACGACTCTCAGGCAAGCTCAGGGACAGAATCGACAACACATGAACGGACATACAGTGTGTTCCCTCGCGGACGTTATTCAAACCACAACTCTATCTTGTCTACACCCATACCCGAAGATGTTGTATCGGAAAGGTCCAGTGCTGGCTACGTGCCGCAGCTCTCTCCTGTACCGAGAACAGTACCTACCCGGTCACATTCGCTTCCTCAATCTCGTCCTGAATCGGTCGAAACGAATCCTGGGTCTGTCTTTGATTCAAGCCGAGTCGATGGGGCGACTACCCCCCTTACAGATAATCGAGAGCCGTCATTTTCAGTCGCCGACAGCAGTCCGACTTTGGGCACCGTCGAAACGCATCGCCTTTCAGTAAAGCATCTTCCAATGAATAATTATCAGGGTATGCTTGAGCCAGTACGGCCTGTCTTGGTTCCGGAAGTAGATAATCTTCCCATTCCCGTGGAAACTGAGGTTGTGGCTCCAGAACACCCACCGAATCCCTTTGCTGTTGACTGCAAGCTCAGCCCACAAAGTTCATTTTACGTCCACAAAGGCTTTTGTGACGGCGCAAAGGAAATACTTAACGGCGGGGCTGGCGTCCGGAAAACCGTGAAAGCAGTATGTAGCTCCTATTGTCCATCTTGGAGTCCTTATTGACTGATCAATATAGGGATTCGCGTCTGTTGCAACAGTTGCGAAATGTGTCAAGTGCCAATTCGAACTCGACTTTAACGAAATTGACTTGGATGTCAACAAAGCAGGTATGTTCAGACACACGGCAAAATCATGGGCCCGTTCTTATATGCTAACATTGCCTCAGAACGCGGTAACTTCATCAAGAATGGGATTGGATACAGACTGCGCTTCCTTCAAAAGTCGCATTTGCCAACGCGCCGGTCGGACGATGTTATGTATGGTTGTGTTTTTTGTGTGCACCAAGGCAAGACTCTTCATGCGAGCGACGCAACAGTCTTTACCAGCCAGAAGGCCTTGTTCGCACACTTGGCTCGCCATCCTCGGCCTCTTCCGGCTGTGCAAGGTTTCACGTTCATCGAAGGGAGCGAGGTCCCTGCCGGATACAAGAACGACTATGACCTCCATTTCAAGTCGTCTGTCGAACTCCATCCGCATTTCGAGCAAGCTTCCAACACATCCCATCTCCCAACGGCAACCGCCAAAGAAGCGGCCCGCCGCATGTACGGCCAACGATTGCTGTATGACAGGACTCCTGCACACGAACTCGTATTGAACGCTAGAATCGTAGGCGTTTCGTGGCCGCCAAAGTACTTGGGCGAGTGGGCAATGGGATTTCATGACGGCATCCAAGCCAGTGTTCCAACCGAGATCTTGAGACTGGATCCGCCGCCACCCGAACAAGTCAAGGTCGATGGAACAAGTCCGGTGCAAGCTACTGCAAAGTGGAAGTTCAACCACAAGGACAAGGTCAAGGGTGACTGGCTTAAGTTCGAGAAAGACGAAATCATTACCAACATCGGCTGTAAGTTTGCCCAAGGGATTCCGTATAACGTAATATAAAATCCCTCGGATCTAACTGTGAGTAGGGCCTTATCAAGAATTTTGGTGCTGGTCAGGCACAAATGCCAAAGGCAAGACAGGAATTTTCCCCCAGGCGTTTATTGACGCAGCAACGCTACGCGACTTTGGCAAGTCCGGCTCGGATAGGGCGAGTATCGTGAGTAATGAACGAAACAAGTCCTTGTCTGTTTTGTCTCGGTTTACATCTCGCAAGCCAAGCCGCGTTGGAAGGCCTGGAAGCATTGCTGGATCAATCGGCAGCAATGAGATCCCGATACTCCCAACACCAGTCGGAACAAACGGACACGATTAGGGGAATGTAAAGTTAGTGTGGGAAGTAATGATGTATGACGACACTGAATACACCAGTTATGAAGCATGGCGTCAGACGGCGTACGGGGAATATACCCAGAGATACTTTGTGTTCTCTTCTTTTGCTTTGCACTTTCTTTTGCGCGTTTCGTATTTTTTGGAAGTAGTATTATATCATGGCATCCTACTAACGAGCTATACCTTTGCTGTGTTCCCTCTGTGACGACTACTTTGACTGTATTATGTGCCGAACAACCTTTAGAACCGAGTAACTGAAGTATAGGCTGGGTTCCGAGTCAAGCTGATCGACGCCGCCAAGCGAATGCTATGGATGCTTGATGCTTGTACCGACTTGGCGTTCAATATACCATCGCTAAATCCGAGAGTGGTCATTGTCCAGAAATATCTTGATCACTAACGAGGCTGGCCTGATATCGTATCGGAGCCGCTGAGTTCGATTCGATGCGTCTATTTCGATGATTCTTCAAAGCTCGCCAACCATTGAAAGCCAAAGAACGAGGGTCTTGTTAGCGACGTTACCATTCAATAGGTCAAATTGGTCGATTAAGCGCCATGATATCCGCCCTGTTACTCAGCCGCCCGCCAAGAAGGATGTTGATACCCATTTGTGGATTAAAGGCAAGCAAAGCAGATGTAACGATATTACAAAGATTACAAAGACCAAACCTGGTGATTTATGTCTTGGATCGGAAATGTTGAATCGGAAGACGTAGATGGCGTTGTTGAAGTAAGCCCAATCTTGAGGCTCTAGAATTCCATAGTTCACACTTGCCATTCCCAGACTAGACCCCCTGCACCTCAAAGATCTCCAGGGGAGCTGCATTCTAACTCCACCAAAAAAAAAAAAAAAAAAAAAAAAAAAAAAAGCAGGTACCACTACTAAGACTTCGACTGTCTACCTCGTGGGCAGCAGAAAAGTTGGCCTCCTAAGTCTTAGGGTATAAAAATAAGTAGTCTAAAAACTATAGCCTAAGGAGCATAAAGTGACCTACTAATTTCGTCTCGCATGCTTCCAGCGGACTGTGTCTCTGAGTGACATCTGCCATATCCACCAGATCCATAGATAGTTTGTTTCAACTCTAGGGACATTTCGCTAGATCATTTAGACTCGGAAAGAATGAGAAGAAAGGAGAAAAGGACCCATTAAAACACGTTAGACGCTAACGTAAATCACCTTCTGCCGCATTCAATACGGAACGTGGCCGTCGTTCTTGGCTTGTTGGTTGGCCGCGAATTGCAACAAGAAAGGCCTCTCTTTTGTGAAGAAATGACTGCAAATTCCTCATTTCTTCATCCAGTTTTTGGTCGATCAGTGGAATGAAACAGTGCAAGCCCTGTCGTGCACATCAGTCAATCAATGCCCTTTACAACAAGCTGAATAATGCGCCATGCTGATCATGGGCCTTGCATAAGACCTTCATAGATCGACAAGGTAATTCCGTAGGTAAAGGCTTTGTAAATAATTATTAAACAATGCGATAGTTACCGCTGTCACTCGCCGTACTGTACTATACATACCTAATTCTTTTTCCAATGTTACCCAAGCAGAGCAGTGATAGGTCATGTTAACAGTGCTTTTTACGGAGTCTGAGCACAGAGCAAGGGTCAGTCTCAGTTGGTAGGTGGCCAGCTAGATTTGGATCTGGATTTATACATAGTAACTTTGCACTTAACCTCCGACGACCACGGACCCGACAATGGCGTTTATCTTGACAAGCCTTACCTTGTTCCGATTGGGGCACAAGAGACACCGTGCTTCCAGGTTTTATGGTTTTGTGCACGGATTGAGATCAAAGGCTTCGATAATGGAAGAAGCGCTAACAGAGTCCGTCCAGGTTAAGCGGTTATAGCGGAGTATGGATATATTCCGAGACAAAAGATGTTGTACAAGACATAACTTTGAACAGAGGATAAACCCGATGTTGTGCAGATGCGATATAAGTCAGGAGCACGAACAATGCCACCTGTAAAACCACTTTAGGGCTGTCAAACAAGATGTGTGTATGAAGAAAGATGGGATGAGACGATTCTGAGGAGTGGGTGTTAAGGGGGTCAAGATCTGCAATTCTTGTATGTACGTAGCATTGTGCTGAGTTGTATCGTATAATGTGTCATTGTTCTTGGTCGGAGTGACGGAAAAGACGCATAACATTGCACTCATATGATGAAACGCCAGATCCTAGCTCCTTGGCCATGACAGCGCAACAAGACGACAGAACAGAAATAGCTGGGTCCAACTAGTAGCAACAAGGGAAAAATAAACTATCGGTCTGCATGGGTACTTATGAGTTCAGGTCATCACGATATGATGGAGCAATGTTGTAGATCTGGAGATGTTCTTCTTTCTTCGTTCAATGTGATCCCTCTTGTGGTTCAGGTGAAGAAATTACCTTATAATGAGTTGAACCAGTATCAGGTCAAGCACGTGCAAGATAAGGTCGGGCGAGCGTACCCTGAGACCACAGAGGACCATGACCCACAGCACCGGCCTATAGCACGCTAAAGGCTGTGTAGCGTCAGGGGTCAGGCCGGCAGTTTTCAGGTTCTCTCCCGTCGTTCTGGGTCCTGACTTGACTTGAAACACCAAGCGCCCCATCACAACTCATGGAAGATCGACCTAGCGCCAGTCGCATCTCGACTTTAAGCCGCCCTCTCACCAATCAACTTCTCTTCCCTATCAAACCCACATGCCCCAGCAAATCTTGGCTGGGTCTCCGGAAGTATCATGCCTGAGCTGGTGTACCCCTAGATACCATGTCTTCGCTATTCTGGGTCGTGCGTGGTCTTGGTTGCGGTCATTGACCATGAGCCTGAGGAAACACTCTATTCAATGCAACCGGGCTTGTTCTCGGTGTGGGTTTAGCCAAAGAGGCATCCACATATATCTCTGGAGCAAAAAGTTTGACTTCCTTTCTTTCTCTTGCTTGCTTGCTTGCATGTTTGTTTTGTTTGTATTATATAGATCTCTTTCCTCCTGTCATACCTTCTTTTTGCGAGCTATTGCTTCTCTGATTCATTCCAACCTTGACGGTTTATTTAAGTTTGATACTTACTCTCATCTTTCTTTCTATCTCTGCCTCTCTAGGTATTCTTAATGACGACTCCTTAAAGCTTGTTTCCTAACCTTTCAGTTCTTTATCTCACTTTCCCTCTCACTCTCACTCACTCTCACAAAATGTATATCAACTGGGCTGGACTCTTTACCCGAGGGTCGACATTCGTCAGTTCAGTTCGACCCGAAACTCGCAGCGTTTCGACATATACCGAAAAGGCTGTTTCCGCTATCCAAGCAATGAACGATGAATTCTACAACTCTGCTACCGGTACATGGGACAATGCCTGGTGGTCCAGCGCCAACGTATGTTTACGAGCCTCTCAAAGCAAAGTAGACACATGAAACTAATAATGGATTTTCAGGTGGTCACCACTCTCGCTGATTTCGTAACTCTAGAACTCGAAGAGGCCAACAAGCTAAACATTGGAGGCATTCTCGCTACAACATACACAAACGCTCAAAAGACAACCGTTCACACTATGAAGACAATGACAGACGGTGTCGTCACCTCCGCCTACTGTCTAGACTCAGACTCTGGCTGTATGATGAAGCGTTCTTTTCTCGGAAAACGTGGCTTTGATAACTTCCTCAACGAGTTCTACGACGACGAAGGATGGTGGGCTCTGGCATGGATCAGAGCGTCCGACGCTACTGGAGACCAGCAGTACCTCGAAGCTGCCATCGACATCTTCAACGACATGCAGACCGGCACTGGAACGAAATGTGGCGGCATCCGGTGGAAGAAGGAAGGCGAAGAAGGTTCAGGCTATGTGAATGCCATCGCCAACGAACTCTACCTGATGACGGCTGCTTCTCTGGCACGACGCGTCCCCAATAACGGCACATACCTCGAGATCGCCAAGAAGCAATGGAACTGGTTCCAGGATAGTGGCATGATCAACAAGGATGGACTGATCAACGACGGACTTAACGACGATTGTAAGAACAACGGTCTGCAAACCTGGTCTTACAACCAAGGTGTTGTCTTGGGCGGTCTTGTCGAGCTTGCTCTCGCAACAGGCGACGATAACTACACAAAAAAGGCCCACAAGATTGCACACGCAGCTATTGAGCACCTCTCCAACCCTGACGGCATCCTGATCGAGACGGACGACTGTGAGCACAAGGATGGCCACTGTGGCGCTGATGGGCAACAGTTCAAGGGTATCTTTGTCAGAAACTTGCGATACCTGCACACTGTCTCACCCAAAGCACTTTATCGTCGGTTCATCACCAAAAACGCCATCTCGATCTGGAGGAACGGCCGCAGCGAAGATAACTTGTTGGGAGTCGCTTGGGCCGGACCATATGTCCGCGCCACTGGTCCCTCGCACAGCAGTGCCTTGGATGCTATTGTGGCAGCCATTGCTGTTTCTTAGATGTTTTACTGGATTTTCAAAAGGGGAAAAGAGTCAACAATGACCAGGCGTCTTGGATGGGTAAAAAAAAAAACCATGGATTGGTTTTTAACAGCGAGTTTTTTTTGATGATTTTTCTTTTCTGGAATTAGATGGACACGGCTTACGAGCAAACATTAGACGGGAAAGGGTCTACGACTCTCATTTTATTTGTTAATGGTTGATACCCCCTTACAGGATTTGGAGGATATTTTGAAGGTATTACAGCTGGAACTTGGCCAACCCAACCGAGATAGAGACTTGAGACACTGATTGATGGACACTTATCTTAATCGATCTTTACAATACGACGATACAATACAATGCAATGCAACAATATCGCTTAACGATGCTTTCTATTTACCTTGGCACCTAGACCTATTTGTTTCGCCATATGTTCCTGACGTTGTACAGTGTTGGCTAACCTAGCAATTAAAACACTGTACAGGGTCCAGTAACGTTGAATGTTTGGATGCATGAAACATAGTCAGGTAGTTATTAACGACTCGTGAACTTGTAATAAACATCGTCTGAGAAACTGTGAGAGTTTTCTTCCTCAAGTTTCAAGAGTTACAGAGAACCAAACAGACTCCCATTGGCTCTACCCATATGAAGTCGCTCGTGCCAAAGTCCGGACCCGCTTACCTCATAAACTTGAGACCTCTCACAACATGTTGAACCTGATGCATTAATCAAACACCAACCAAACATACAATAAAAAATCCTGCCCAGCTATTCTCGTTTTTGGTTGTCGCAGACGTGAATGGTATGGACGCCCCAGAAGCAGATGTCGACATCAAACTACAGAAAATCTCGGCAGATCTTCTAGAGGACTTTGACCGCTCTCTGCCCCATTTCCTATGGAAACCTGATGGTCATGGAGGCACAGTAGTCCGCTCGAGGGTGCGCGCAAAGGAGATCTTCCGACTGACCAACTCTGTAAGTAAGTCTGAGATACTCATCTGTATTATCGTGACTGATTCTCCTGCCAGATTTTGGACCAATTTCAAGAACTCCCTCAGCTACTGGATCCTTACCTCCCAAAATGGATCCCCCTCCTGGCCGAGGTGTTTCTAAAGCATCTGCAAACTCGCCATCGTGGAAAAACACTTTCATCTCGTTCCAAACTCTTGGTCTCTGTCGAGTTTGCCATATGCAAAATTTTGTACACTTTTTGCAAGATCCGCGGCGAAAAAGTCATCGTGCGCTTTCTAAACGTCGAGGCCAAGTATTTAGAGTTGCTGCTTCTTGCCATTGAAGAGTCCGAACAAGCCTCTGCCGATGATGTTACTCTTGGGAAATGGTCATGGGAGGAGCGCTATGTTGTTCTTCTGTGGCTCTCACATCTCCTGCTGGCCCCCTTTGATCTCTCCACCATCTCATCCGTTGATCTACAAGACGTGACAGCACCGGATATTCCAGGCATGTTTTGGCCTGAGAACCTTCCTGCCATTACTGTACGCATGGTTCCACTTGCTATCAAGTACCTCAGTACTCCTGGGAAAGAGCGAGATGCCGCAAAGGCTCTCCTAGTAAGAATGGCGATTCGACGTGACATGCAACAACTCGGGGTGCTCAAGAGCCTTATCGACTGGTCTCTTACATCACTTCGTCCGCGCAAGGATCAACCTCTTCAAACGACATACTTCTGTCTTGGAGTATTGTCCTTCCTCGCTGGTGTCTTGCGGGCATCGTCAGACACGTCAGACATGAACCCTTACCTTTCCACCATCTTTTATGCCATACACACCATTTCTGTTGGCGAGGATGAACTCTCAAAGACCATCATCTCCTTTGCTCTGGCCAGGAAAATGATTCTCAAGGTTATTCGATCTGTGGTTGTGCTGCGTCTTCGACAACCCCAGGACGCAGCTAGCACTGAACTCACCGAGACCGCTATTGGATATTTGCTTGAATCGGTTTCTGACAATGATACACCTGTACGACTGGCTGCCAGTAAGTCTCTGAGCATTATCACACTGAAATTGGACCCCGACATGGCCTCACAAGTTGTCGAAGTCGTGCTGGAATCACTGAACCGAAACGTTCTTTGGACGAGACCAGCTGGAGGCAAACCAGTCAGAGATTTGTCCGCTGTAAATAATCTCGAGTGGCACGGCCTGATGCTTACACTCTCACACCTATTGTATCGGAGATCTCCGCCAACTGAGCAGCTGTCCGATATCATCCATGCCCTGCTTTTGGGTTTGTCATTTGAGCAAAGAAGCATGGCTGGAGGAAGCATTGGCGCTAATGTGCGTGACGCTGCTTGCTTCGGCATCTGGGCTTTGGCGCGCCGATATACGAGTGACGAACTTCGTGCAGTCCCCACAGACTCTGTCTTTGCAGCAAAGGCTCACCCAGATACGAGTTCCATCATCCAAGTTCTGGGGACAGAACTCGTCGTGACCGCTTCACTAGATTCCGCTGGAAACATCAGACGCGGTGCGTCGGCGGCTCTGCAAGAACTCATTGGACGGCATCCCGACACCGTCGAACAAGGTATTTGGGTAGTACAGACGGTCGACTACCACTCTGTCGCCCGACGTTCTAGAGCGATCGAGGAGGTAGCCGTTAACGCGACCAGGTTATCGAGTCAGTACGGCGAAGCCATCATTACTACTCTCCTTGGCTGGAGGGGTATCGGTGACCTTGATGCTGGCTCGAGACGTGTCACAGGTGCCGCTTTTGGCGTCCTTACCTACGAGCTTTCAGACTCAAAGACAGGCGATTCGCTTGCTCGATTCAAAGCCACTGTCCAACTACTGACTGAGCGTCTTGAGTCACTCCAGCCGCGTCAAGTCGAGGAGAGACACGGTCTGTTGTTGTGTTTCGCAGCTGTCCTCGACAAGTTCCCTGCTCTGCTCCAAACCGACACAACACAGGATAACTCGTCATTGATTGATGAGATATTATCGACAGTGTCAGGGTTATTGGAGAATTTACAGTCGACTGCCTATCGAAAACCGGAGCTACTCGCTGAAGCAGCAAGTCGCCTTGTCGTCTCAGCGTTGCCTATCCTACAAACCGCTGTTCTCGGCGCAAAGCCTCAGTTAGCCCTTCGACCAGGGCAAGAGCTCGTTCAGCCCGATAACACGGCTGAATATACAAGTCTAGTACCTGAGCTCGATTCTTGCAACAAAGATAGAAGCGCAACAGTAGTACGCCTGGTATCTGCACTGCGAGCTATTATTCCCACATGGCTGGATCGTAGCGAGCAAGAGACTATCGAGCCGATTGCTTCTGCGTCACTTGTCCTGCTGCTATTCTCCCCACCGAGTGAGAGAAAAGCGCTCATAAGCGAATGGTCTGAGACTGTTAAACGCCGCCCTACAAGTCGAACTGCCATGCACGGCAATGGCTACTTTTCAGCACTTACAATCGCGCAGCCCCTGGTAGACTCATCCGAGGATCTGGCTTGCCAGGCACTCTTGGAGCGATGGGCATGGGATAACGAAATTGATACTCGGGTGGCTATTTTGCAGAGCCTGACACGCAGCAGTATTTTACACAAGAAGCCTCTGACATTTTTACAGTTGATCGCTGAAGGGTTGAACGATTATACTACGAATGCCCGGGGAGATGTTGGATCACATGTCCGTGTGCAGGCTCTCCGAGCTGTTAGAGTATTATGGGATCAATTGGATGGGGCCGCAGTTGAGAGTGAATGGGCAGAGGCATCTGTGAGGGCGCTCTTCTTCAGTACTCTTCGTCTTTCTGCCGAAAAGCTCGATCGCGTCCGTCCTGAAGCCCAGGCTGTAGTGGCCCTTATCTTGGAGAAAAGGTAGGTCGAGCAACACCTTTGATGATTGCTTTGTCGAATACTAACGGCTTTAGCCACACAAAAACCTTTCTCGAACTCACGTTTTCCTCAAAAGCTTACTTCCTCAGTCTGCTGAACTTGTATGGTGGGGCATGTCTACAGCCATTGCTTCACAAAGTAGTAAAGGAAGATACGGGTCAATGGATGGCAGAACTTATGGCTGGTTTCGTCGGATCTGCAGACACAGGCAACGAAGACCTGATCATTGCGAGTCGAGCGGCGCTCTGTGGCTTTTGCGAAGCCAGCAACGAAAACCTAGACCTTGTCTGCCATTCTTTATTGCAGAACCTGAAAACTCGACAGGGTCAAGATAGAGTTGTCGTGCCGACTCTAGAGGTTGTTGCATTCCTGTTCCACGTACAAGTCTTTCAAAAGAGTACTGTCGATCTCCGTAGTCTGTGCCTGCAGACCCAGAAGGCAGGATACAAGACGGGCAACGTGCGTAAGCTTGAGGCATGCATCAAGGTCTACGCTGGTGCTGCATCGATGCTTGGCCAAGGAGGTGCCGAGCCAGGAGCCCATGAAGCTAGAAAACGCTTGGGAGCTCTGTTGCACCATCCATGGCCCAAGGTTAGGACCATGGTGGTAGATGGACTCTGGAGTGTGCTTGGGGAACAAAAGGAGGCTGCAGATAAATTAACAGGTGTAGACTGGGGTCAAGCAGGTAAGTCACAGATCAAAACTGTAGTCGAGGAGCTGGGGCTATGTTAGTTCAGGGATATCAGAAGTGTGTCCCAACGTGGCAGCTGAATAGTGTTCGAGAAGGTGAGATGCGCGTGCGGCAATGCAGTAGTGGCTGTTCGGCTCGAAGTTTGGTCCCTGATCGACCCGCGATGACAGACTGACCATGTCAGTGCGCATCAATCACTATTGTGATATCAGATTAGACAGCCTCAAAGCTAGCAAACCTTGATATCCAAGAGAGGAAGGTGAAGGAAATAGTGACCGTTTACAATCAAGCCTCTGAAGAACGCCACTACACGATGATTCGCGAAACAAGTACGGTTGCGAAACCATGTATAGGGTTATAGGTGGTATGGTGGCTTGAGACATTTGAAGCCACGAAACCGTGTTCATTTCTGAGAAAGCCCGGTAGAATGGATGAACGACTCGTCAAAGTTTGCCTGACGTTGGTTTATTTGCAATAATTCGGTGTAAGTTTACGCCATGTTTCTCCTGACGTTCTAGTGGGTGCACTAGACGTTCCCAGGCAGTCGCTGTAAACGTGGTTGACAATGCCATACAGTAGTTTGGCAGTCAGCCAGTCTTATCGGCGTTCCAGGGACAGAAATGAGAGTGGAGGAAATGCTCCTTATGTTTCAACGATAGACGAATCGAGATTAAGAGTGAGAGGCACAGTAGATACAATATCTAAAGCACATGGATGATCCTTCTGGCAGCTACTGATGGACATGCTGGACTTGGGAATTAACTCATTTGTCTAATATCCAGGGGCTATGAAATTGGCCCCGAGTGTCATTGACCGTTTTGGCTTGCTGGGTGAATCAGTGTGGATATTTTGATAACTCAGCTCGATGAGCCTGTGTACTATATACGGGCGTTGATATCAAACTCGACCTGAGCTAGTAAAGGAGACGCTGTAGGAAAATGAGTACTACAGCATGTCGAGTATTAACAAAGTGCATGAACCAAGGAACAAGAGATAAGGCTGATGCACGCATCGTGAGATGTGGAGTTTTGCAGATAAGGAAGCCATGAATTGTGGGTAATATTGGTGTGGGTTATTACATGTAATCAATTATCGATCATGGTTTGGTTTCTATTTTTTGTCTAGAAGTAGTCTTGGCTCAGAGGTTCGTTTTTACACGGAAATTCTCAGATGATAATGAGGGGAGAGAAAAGAGCTTTGTTACCTCGGTTAGTACCTCTTGCCCAGTCTACCTACATACAGACCAGATTATTGGGATGCACAATCTCTAGTTGCAGGTTACAGGTTGCAGGTTGCAGGTTGCAGGTCGCAAGCGGGAAAGTGGAGAATCTCCATCCGTTGCAAACATGGCAGGCACCATCTAACAAAACTCTAATGTGCACGGCCATATTCCCTCATTGGTAAATTTTCTACATCATGAAGTTGGTATCTCTTTCACTTACAATTCCAATCTGCGCTTTACTTCATAGTACCATCAAAACATTTCAGTACCTCAATCCCAAGACAATGGTCAGAAAAGCGTGGGGGCCTGCGCGATTCCCTTATCAAGTATAACAACCATGCTGTCGCGTGATGTGACAGGCTCTTGGCTGGTAGGTAGGTTGCTTGGCTGCTCGATATTGGACCCTTGTTTTGTCTTTTCAAACCTGGGGGACATGGAATGTCCATATTGGGTAGCTCCTGGTTTCCATCCCAAAGTATCGGATCTGCATTTTTATCAATCACCATCAGACATTGCATGGCAGAAAAGAAAAAAAAAACCACGATAAAATAACCTTGACAAGCTGATGGAAGGAAGGATGGATGGTTGGATGATGGCTCGACCAAAGCCGAAGCTGTGCGTTATGATAAGATCATAAGCAACACGGCATAGCGCCCAGCCACAAAACCACAATATGGGAACACCTTTTCAGCACTCTTTCACATATCGGGCAGTTCCGTACATAACATGTGAAGTCACTGATAACCCCTAGACCGTCAAGTTCAGACGTGTCGATAGGTCCAATTCCAATCCGTCGGAATGGCCCCGGCTTGGTGACCGACAACGGAGCTGCACTTCGCTTCGACAAGGAAGCCATAATACTGTGAAACATGTGCGATTAATAGTGTTGCTCAATTGTTGTGCCATGAAGGACGGGCATGAATATTCGCATGACTAGCTCAGACAACTAGGGTTCAGTGCTACCAAGCCTGGTGGCTGATTTGCTAGCTCCGCCCTGGTACTTGCGGCCTGAGTTGCATCAAGAGGTGTTTCTTGTCCGAATGGAAAAGGAAAAGAGAAAAGTGCTTTTTACCGCAATGACGGCACGATGGGCTTTCTATACTTCGTACCGCATTGGAACCGTGTCGGATCAAGCATATTCGGCGACAAAAACGTATCCAGCAAGTCGGGCATCCCCATCCCTACGATAGCAGTCCGAGAAACACGAATATCCCGAAAGAGGTCATCTCCCCAATTCGGCAGCGCTTGACGCCAAGTAAGGCATATATCCTTACCTCGAACTATGATTTGTTAGCCAGCTTGATGGGATGGAGGTCATTGATCGATTTTTTGGAGCTTCAGCAGTCAACCATCATTTGCTGCCATGTTATTTGCGTTGACACAGTATGGTTACCAATCGGCTACCAAGTCAAACTATTTGTTCTCTGGTCGTCCTCTTCCTTCCGCGTCTTGGCTAGACCACAGTCCAGTCCGTCGCTGGCTCAATGTGGACGCCAAGAATCAATATCCTTGGTGCAATGTTCGTCATCCATGATGGTCGATCATCCTGTTCACTTCCTTGACGGCATTATCACAATCCAATAGCCCAGATTGTATTATTGAGAACTATCGGTGGACCCTGTTCGCCGTAATCGTTGTCAAGAGTACCAATCTGGCCAGCTACAGGAACTTCAAACTCTCTGAATACCAACCGGGCTAGCTTTCACGAACCTGCATTAAAGACCCTAATGCTCATCAGTCCCTTGGCTTTTGATCCACTGGCGCTGGGGCTGGACCGACACTTTGGATGGCTGGCCCATTTCATCCTGGGGCTCCACAGTCTGTGGCCAACACCCCCTCCCTCCACGACAAGACCGACGCACAGGGCCACAGATGACGGGGTTACGGGCTTTGAGAGGCCACAAGCTCGTGTGTATGCGTGTGAGAGTGCTCTGCTCTCTGCTCGTCCATCAACGCTACTGTAACTTACTGTGCCTTCCGGATGGTCAACCGGGACGAGTCGATTCGCCCACACTCTCGCCTCCGCAACATTAGATGTTGGGCCTTGGGACCTGCCGCACCTTGTCCGCCTCCACTCTTCTTCTTATCTTGACTTAATACTTCCTCCTCTGCCCTGTATTCTATTTCCAGGTCTCCTTCCTGCTCAGCCTTGGTTTGTTGCCTTGCCTTTCTCTTCGACCAAATGCGAGGCGACACATCAATACATTTTCCCGCGAACTGGCATCACTGACATATACGCGCACCCCAACGACTGCGATTTTTGAGAGTAGCGACTGCTCTGACTGGTTTCATTCTTACTCCTGTCGACGCGGTTCAATCCGTCGCCAACTTCCGCTCACCCAAGCTAAACTGCCAAACTGTTATCGACACGGGTCGCCAAGTCCACGATTTTCATGAATTCATCTCTCGCTGAACCGCTACTACCACTAGTCAAGTGCCATATGCGGCGGCTTTATGTTGAGGTGAATTATCAAAGTATTTCAAGATCAACTACAGATCCGACGTCACGGCATCTACCGCCAACACCATTCCAGCCGTAAATTTCCACCAAATTTTAGCCCTTACGCTCAATCGTTACCTCGCTCGTCGGGCCCTCTGCGGAGGACGACGGGCGCGGACTGGGGCGCAGACATGACCCTCTATACGGAACCTCCAACCCTTCGCGAATTCAAGTACGATAAGCCCACTCTGCTCGTCTGTTGGTGGGCAACGTCATTTTGCACTCTCATTATCCTCCTACGGCTTGCTGGCCGTTTCATTCGTACAGAACGATTATTCACCGAGGACCGTGTGGCTGCGCTTGCCTTGATACCTTTGTATGCTCGCATGGCATGCGTTCATTATATACTCATTTACGGAACCAACAATGCTCAATTTGACGGCGTTGAGCTCACTGACGAACAACTACGCCAGAAGTCTATTGGCAGTGGTCTTGTGCTAGCCAGTCGAATTTTTTACGCTGCAACGTATGTGCTGCTTTCTCTGTTTCAAGCAATTATGAACGTCATGTGCTGACTCCGATAGCTTATGGATACTAAAGTTTGCAGTTCTCGAGTTCCTCCACCGATTGACTCGAGCCACATGGGAACGAACATGGCAGACGTCTCTGTATATCATTCGCATCATCCTTGCAGCCACCTTCATCGCCGTTGTCATAAGCGACTTTGTCGAATGTCGTCCTTTCAGTCACTATTGGCAGGTTTTGCCTGATCCTGGTGGTCAGTGTCGCCAAGGTTATGTGCAGCTTCTTACCATGGCAGTCTGCAACGTCATCACCGACTTGTTGCTTGTCATTTTCCCCATTCCAATCATCGTGACGAGTGGAATGACGATAAAGAGAAAGATACAACTCGTGCTTCTCTTTTCCCTCAGTCTGTCTGTTGTAGGAGTGACACTCTACCGTGTACCACACATCATCGACGAGAATGGCCGTCAGCAATATCGGTCTCTTCTGGCTTCAGTTGAGCTTCTGTTTGCCACGGCAGCGGCCAACTCATTGGTATTGGGGTCTTTCATGCGGGATAGGGGTATTAAAAAGCAGAAGTTCCGCCGTTCGTCTGTCGCCGAGTCCCTCGATCCTTCTCTCAATCTTCGCCGTCCGACTTTACATCGACACTGGGGGAGTGATGAGGACCTCGTTCGGGATATTGGCATGACTGTCGATCCGGAACTACAGGACCAGCCCGACAATTCCAGTGAGAATGGTGCTTTGCAATATACTCCTGCCCCTCTTGTCCGGAAGCTGGACCAAGATCTTGAGCGCTGGCAATTCCCACAGAGACAGCGCAGTAACGCAGAGCATAGCGACGATTCTCTAATACAACATGACCCACTCTCTCGGTCGAAGAACGAGAATAGTCCGGCGCCAAGAAGAGTATCTTTCTTTGATGTGGGTGGCTTGCTCGATGTTCCGCCCGAAAGTTCTGGCAGTCTACGAGCAAATAGCCGCGACTCATCTAAAGAGGACTCAGCACAGTCCTACACACCTCCTGTGCCTTCGTTGCCGGCCAGTTCGGGCGGGTTCCGTCGAGGTTCGACTGCATTACTCCAGGATATTGGTGGCCTTTTTGGGCCTGCGAACGCAAGGTCGAATCGATCCAAGCCCAAATACGGAGGCACTGAACTCCAACCGATACCACAATCTCGGCAAGAGTCACGACAAGGCAGTCATGCGCATTCAGGGACAGAGCTGAGGGATCCTGGCGGGCTCTTGAATTAAAGTGTCGATTGCCATTGACATATATATCTTGTTTGCCTTGTGGCGACAATCACATTTTCATCGTCAAATTCATTGGATCATGGACTCATAGATATTTCCACGGCTATAGGCGTTTTTTCAGTTGGTATTTCGGGTTTAGTTAGCAGGACAGGAGTAACGTGTGGGAAGGATTCTTTGGGTATTTGGGAACCTATTGAGGCGGGATTTGAGCACAATCACTAAAGTGATTTTTTGCAGGCTCACCATGAGCTCAATTTTTTTTTTTTTTTTTTTGCCAGGATGGCATGGATATTGATTAGATATACCCGGCGGAAGCCAAGTTAACGTTTAATGGCATTGGCATGAATCTTAAACATTATTCTCGGACAGAGATCAAAGTAGTTTATGAGTCTGACATCGTATCAGTGTGGGCAGTTATATATGAAATCTTCAAATATGCGGTTACCTGCTGGCGTCACCTTCAGCACTCAGACAGTCGATATTCAGTGAGGTCTATACGCTAAGCGGTCACCCAACACACGAGTAAACAAGCACAAGGGATGGGGAAGCCTTCATATAAATGCTTGTATTCCTTGGTTGGCTTTGCTACAGCGCAGCACAATTTAGATAGAACCCCTGAAACGCCAGCTTTTTTGAATTTCATTTGCAGTTTGACGCCCTCGTCCTCGTACCAGAAGCCCGTTCTTTCCTTTAACACAATCTCGACATAGCCTATCCAACAAATTATCTATACACACAATCGGTAACTAGCATATCGACCAGCTGTTTCACTGTTTCGGATGATCTTGACAACATGACCTCGCTTGAGGCCCAGATAGCGAGCAACAGGGTCCTTTTGCAAAATACGAGGGAGCTGGGTCTCCTTCAGACGGTAGCGCTTGAGAAGGGCAATCTTCTCCTCACGGGAAAGGAGAACATGCTTCGGGACAAGCTCGTGGTGGGTGATGTTAACGAGCAAATCGTCCTCAAGGAAGCACTCGATTTTTGCAAGCGCTTCGACGCCGGCAAGCGACCTGCGGGCGGCGGGAGAAAGAGGGACGTGAGTCACCATGATGCCGGTCTTATAGTGGTTGTTAATCACGTATGCGGCGAACGCTCGGATCTGATTGACACCGAAGGTCTTGTCGGCAAGGAACTCGATCCAGATAGGGCCACAGTCAGCAACAGGATCGGGGTTGGCTGCTGTCACGGGAGGAGTAAATTTGCGGATCATGGCTGTGCTAGGACGCGCCGAGAACGATAGTTTGTTGCGGCTGTAATTGATACGGTTAGTTTTGCATTTTCTTCGGTTGGAGTAACATGGATGGGCCCTTACTTGATAGAACCATCGGGGTTGCAGTACTCGTCGCGGAAGCGGTCGAGAGAGATCTTGACTTCCTCCTCAGCGAGCTCGTATTCCTTTGCAACATAGTCAGTTTGATGGGCTGTTATTTTATAGCAGAGCTGCGCGACGAGACGTGTTGCACGATTCTACTTGTAGTCTATAATAAGACTTTTAAGGTAGACGTACTCGATCCGCGACCATCTCATGGACGGTCCTCCATGCCCGCCAAAGCCGGACAACCTCCTTTGACTTGGCGTCTGTGGGAACGTGATCGACATCCATGGCGATTATGTGTTAAGAAGGCGATTCGAATCGTGGTGTTGATGGTGGAGCTAATACGGGTAAGAAAGAACGGTTGCGATCGCAGGCGTCTCAAAAATGTTTCTTTCTTTCAGCCTTGCATCGTCGCCGCAAAAGTCCAGTTTCTTTGGGCGGGTCAGAGCGCTCAGTAAGTCATGTGACTTGCACCGCCACGAGCGTAGCCACAGCAAGCTCTCTGCCACAATTGAATGTTGAGGTTGATCAAGGTGGGGCGGGAATGTACCCCTGGCACCAGGACCCTTCAAGCTCAGTGGTCTCGGTCTCTTTTCCAGTGAACGCTAGGGGAAGGACGGGCCCGAGTCCAAGGGAGGGGCAGCTCAGTCAGTGGTGCACGGGCCTGCCCCAATAGGCAAATTAACAGGTCGTGAGCAGGAGAGACACGGGTCCAGAACTTTAGTAGGGGAAGGTGGTGGAATTACTGCAAGCTGGCAGCACCGCCTAAGCCTACTGTACAGCGTACTTACCTTGTGGTTTTTTTAATCCTTTACAGTTGGGCCATTTCTTTTTTCTCTCCTCTTTTTCCTTAACCCTTCCCACTTGATCTCCACGTGTCGTCCTTATCCTCACCTCTATTCTTCCTCGAGCTGTCTCGCTCTTGGTTCCTAATCTCTTGTCCGCTCTGTCTCTGTCCTCGCAATAATGGCCGAAACCGCAACTTCTCCTGCCCCTGCGGCAGAAAACAAGCAGGCTCATGTCCGTCCTACTAAACCTGACGAGGAGATCTTTAAGAAGGAGCTCGCAAAGGCTGAGAAGGAGCACAAGGCTTCAATGGACCGCCTGGTACGACCTCAATCCCTCTCCTGTTCTGTGCGATATGGCTCGCCTATCGACGCGGGTCCCACATCTGTGGTCTCGGGTGAAGCTGAGCTATAAGGGGTCGGCATTGGCTAACTGTAATTCTTTTCTAGGCTGCTGTGAAAGCTAAGATTGATATTGCTATGCCCAACAAGAACAAGGACCAGCCCAACCCTACCCAGCAACGACGACAAGAGCTCATTGCTCAGGCCAACGAGATTCGACAGAAGCAGGCCGGCGGAAAGAACGCCCGCACTGGAAAGCTCGATCAGATCAAGCGCCTTGATGAGCAGGTCCGAAGCCGAATTGCCGAGCAGAAGACAGCAAAGGCCAAGGTTCCCTACAAGAGCCTTGAGGATGTCGACCGCCAGATTGCCACTCTTGACAAGCAGGTCAACTCCGGTACCATGAAGCTTGTCGACGAGAAGAAGGCCCTTTCAGACATCTCTAGCCTCCGCAAGATGCGCAAGAACTTCGGCCAGTTCGAGGATTCTCAGAAGCAGATTGATGACCTCCGCGCCAAGATCAAGGAGATAAAGGATAGCATGGACGATCCCGAGCAGCGTGCCCTTTCTGATCAGTACAACAAGATCCAGGCTGAGATCGACACCATCAAGGCTGAGCAGGATGAGGCCTACAAGAGCCTCTCCACCCTTCGTGACGAGCGAACCAAGCTGCAAGCTGAGCAGCAGGAGAAGTACACTGATATCCGCAAGTTGAAGGATGACTATTACGGACAAAAGAAGGCTTACCAGGCCTATGACCGCGAGGCTCGTGAGGCTCGCCGTGAAAAGCAAAGGGCAGAGCAAGAGCGTTACCACCAGGAACGTAAGAAGGCCGAGGCCGAGCGCCGCCTGGGCGATGCCAGTGACCCTGCCTACCTGGATGAAATCCGCCGTGCCAACAGCCTGCTCCAGTTCCTCGACCCTAATCACAAGGTCGAGAAGGGCCCTCTCATGGCCGATACTGGTCTCGGTGCTCAGGCCCAGCGAAGCGTTGATGAGTCTGGCCTCAAGGGCACTAAGCTCCTTCGCAAGGAGGACCGTGAGGAGGAGTACGCCCCCGCTATCAAGAAGGGTAAGAAGGGCAAGAAGGCCAGTGCCGGTGCCTCATCCAACAAGTTCAGCGTCCCCCCTGCCGTTGTCGAGGACTGTGCTGCCATGGGCATTGACCCCCCTATGAGCTCCGCCGATATCCCTGCTGTTGCCGAGAAGGTCCGAGCCAAGCTTGACTTCTGGAAGAACGACCAAGAGGCCCAGACCCAGCGCGTAAGTTTGTCATCTGAACCTTTGGTGGGCTGCCATGCTAACTATTGTTATAGAACATCGAGAAGGCCAAGAAGGAGATTGCTGAGCTGGAGGCCGCTGAAGCTAATGGCGACAAGGTCGAGCAGGCTACCTCTGATTTGAAGGAGACTTCTATTGCTGACAAGCAGGAGTCGTAAATATCAACCTCGACTCGACTCTGATTGCTCGTCGGCAAACTCCCATGCCGTCGATGCTGGGCCCTAACGAATACTCACAAATGCGCTCTCTCACTCCCTCATCCTATCCACTATCTGCCAAAAGTCTCTCTTGGCGATCTTACTCGACATGTTGAATCAATTGTTGAACTGATATCAAATGTCGTCTAAAAAGTTGTTTGGCCCATCAACTTTATTGCGCGAGTTTCAATCTTTCTCGCCCTTTTTTCACCACCATGTTCGAATCTAAAAAGCGCTTTCTCGTGCGATTTTGTAATTAGGCGCTACTTCTTAGTGAAGCCATGCGCAAGGAAAATGATAAAAAGTTGGTTCAATTCGGTGATGAGACTCGTTGCATTGATTTTTCTTAGCGTCGTGACATGATTCTCGGTTATCGGGTCCCTTGTAGATCTTGGCCCTAGGTAGGGTCAATTGACTTTGCTTATTGCCGCTCATGGATACATAGCTTGGTGAGGTCATGAGGAGCTTGTATGAAGGAGGTTTGAGTTGGGCACACATCGGGCATACGCTGTGCCTCTTCAGCCTTTCACTTTGCTGCCCTTTTTATGCTTTGCTTTGTTACTCGCGTGTCTGGCATTAGTGAACCGACCAAGACGCATACTTTGCATGCATACATACATACAGACTATCTTGTCTTAATGCAGCAGATGATGTGTTATAAGCACCGGCATTAGTTAGTCTCTGTTCTCTAGCCTATCGCTATGATCGCAGATGTCTTGGGTGCTTGCCCCTCATTTCAATGATTGCCCAAAGTCCAACTCGGGCAGTTGTTGTTAATCAATTCTGCTCGCCATCACACACGGCTGAACGGGAAAGGATTACTGTGTGTCGTTCCTAATTTTGCCTTAAATGGCGTGGTATTTTGTAATTTCAGATACACAAACAACGATGCCCAACTTTGTTAACCCCAGATACTCCAAAGCAAAAATGCAAACCGGGAAAAGTATGTACTCGGACACAAATGACATCGTCAGCCCAACCTTGAACCCTGCCAATAATGATGCCACATCGATCTGCCATGCCGGTAATACTCCACGCCCTGTTTATGCAATGGTCGTGATGTTCGTAATCGTAATATGAATTTTGTAGTATCCTCAGCACCTACGAATGTCCAGCGTTACTGTATCGACATTGGTAAAGTTCTAGTATGGAGGAGGAGGGGGGGGATAGTTGTAACCACCAGGCATTGGCGGCGGTGCTCCAAAGTTGGGGGGTCGTCTCATTCCGGGGCCGGGAGTTCGACGGTCGGCTCGAGGCATGGGCATCGGTGGAGGCTCCTGGTGCATCTGGCCTGGGTCGCCACGGTATCCTGGGGGTACGACTGTGCCAGCGGAGCCGGGAGGGTTATTGCTGTTTCGGCGGTTTACTTTTCGTAGATTTGATAACGATCCTAGCGGTGGTTCTTTAACGGCCGGCTCATCCTCCGCCGGCAGTGTAAGCTCAACAAGTCCAAAGAAATATTCAAGTACTTCGGGGTAGCGCTGTACGCTCGCCTGCCAATCTTCGTCAATGCCGCGTTTCAATGAGGCTTGCGCTTCGGCAACTTGCGTCGGATGAGGCGGTGCATGATAATAATGATAAGCGTGAGCAGTGATTCGATCCATATGCGCAGCATGGGCAGTCTTTCGTTGATCAGTGAGGAGGCGGAAATATTCAAGTATGTAGTCTTGCGCATGCCCTCGAACCCAGGAACTATATAGTCGTACGGTCAGACCTATTTCGGCGCGTAGCGAGGAACAAGAGCTATTACCGTATTTCAGTATATATGGACCGCATCATACGGTCCTCGGCTTGTTTAACAGCAACGTCAAGGCCCTTAGCCTCACACTCACATGCCATATTGGCCGGGGCATGGCATATCGCACAGTCAGGATCCATCCTGATGACAGACTTGCCAGGATATGAGTATTTCCTGGGAAACATCTTAGCTGAGGTATCAGGCAAATTGAATTACACAAAGTTGGAGTGGCAGCCGTGATGCGAGAGAAGGGCAGGTAAACAGTATTCATCTACGGTCAACTCATGACATCGACGTGAGATCCCCCTCCAACCCCGCAGACGATCTTCATAAGGATGTATATGCGTAGGGAAAAAAACCAGCAATGTCAGGATTAAATAATGGATAGGTAGGCAAAGGTGGCAGATGTAAGGGTAAAAATTTCAGGAAAGTCAAAATGGACCTACTGTGACTTAAAGGCACGAGCCGTGTCAAAGTCGATTGAAGACCGTGGCGGTAAGAGATAACGACACCGGGTTGGAAAATGGTCTGGTTTGCCTGTCGAACACCAGCTCGGGGAAGGAGAGCAAGCACCTGTTTCGCTGGAGCCGTATGTGTCCTGCAATGCAAGTAGCAGCAGCTCTCGGGGCTCGAGCTGGGAATGGAGGCCGAGGGAGAAACTGAAGAGCCAGAGAGCGAGCGAGATGAAAGAAGTCGCGTGGGGAAGGAAGCGATGTGGAGAGAGATCGAATGAGGACAGGCGGACCACGTCTACAGTCGTGGCTCGAATGCGGGACCACGGATCGTATGCAGGCTGGCCCAATGGCTTCAAACTGGTACAAGGGAGGGGTTGATGGCCACGAACCGTCGTTGGGCGATTGTGCGGCTCATGTGCTAGAGGTAGGAAGGGTGGTGTTGACAGACAGTAGTACCACAAAAGATGGAGGGGGTGAGTGGAACGTTGGCGAAGAGGATGCAAGGCAAAAAGTTGATCGAGACGAAATCGCAGACCCTTCTAAAGCTTGAGTTGACGTAAGATACTGTCTTGCTGAGGCGAATAGAGCAGATTCGACTGGCGAATCTGTGAGAATGCAAAAGATGTCGGACGTGACAAATAGGTAGTCAGTTCGGCTGGAAGTGTTGAGCGTCTTACTACCAAGGATGGACGAATGAAGACCAGGGACGATCGTGGAGCGAGCCCCAGCAATGAGCAACAAGGTAAAATAATACGGCAGAGGGGGCGAGGCACTGAAAAGGCCGACGAGCGAAGCACAAGAGGCTCTGTTGTCGCTTTATTCACTGCTGCAACACATGTTCACCGCATTTTGGCATCCGCAAGCGTCTCTTGTTAAGTTCGGGAAGCTGGGGCTAGCCCAATGCTTGTCGAATAGCAGCGAACACCAGCGATGGACCATTCCGGGTGAGCTGCATGATCCCATCGGATCGAGGTGAAACGAACGGGCTGGGGAAGAAGTATTGCGTCGAAGGGGAGCAGCTGGTAGACGTGTTTCTAGACGACTGTATTGCTCCTTCTCCATAAAATACATGGGCCCAACGGGTCGAATAAAGTGCTCAAAACACGACTCAAATCAGGACCATGGTTGCGCCTGTCTTTATGGTTGCTGTGCTGTGCTGTACAACGCTACCGAGGTCCGTGGGCATAATGCGTCGGATCGTGGTGATCGGGTGCGAAATGTTGAACAAGGAGAGAACCCGCACGGGAGAATGAAGCCTTGGTTACGTACTAAGTCAAAGGCATAACGAAACAAAGATGAAGTTGTAGGAGAAGAAATGAGGTTCCAGGTTTGAGGTTGCCTTGTTGCACTGCCTTGTTCTGTTGTAGTCCTAGCAGAGACCTGAGGCATGGATGGCAGTTACCATCATTCTCTAAGCACTGAAGTACTCTTTCCCTTTTGGGACTTATATGAGGAACACCTCTCATCATGATAAGAGATGGGCAAAAGGTAGTATGTAGGACTATATCAAGTTGTTTTATAGCATCTGACGACAGTTTGAAGACTATTGTTTCCAATCTCGCTTTTCTCAAATCGAGGCGCATGTTGCACAATGAAGCTACTATCATTCACCCAAAGGGATTACACTGCGTACTATAGCATGTTCTCAGCGATCAGACAGATGCATTCCTCCTTTCTCAAAACTATGAAATCACCTTATCAGACAAATGATGTCTAGGATGATCGATTTGTTCAGGAGCCAAAATCTTGACTTCCTAGTGGACTTCCCACTTACATACATCCCTAGCGTGCAGCATGCTCTTATCTTATCGGTATGAGAAGCCAAACAAATTTCGGAGCTAGACATCATGGATATATTCAATATTGACCTCGATACTCCAACGCCAACTCAACGACAGAGTATCGCTTAATTCTCTGATCATGGCTCCGCGGTGCCCAACTGTATCGTCGACTTTTCTTCCTTTTCTATACCCCTCAGTCTTCCTAGCAAGACAAACTTTCTCGAGCGCATCTGCTCTACGACGTCGATACAACTCCACCGTAAACGATCTTCCAGAGTCACGATTGAACCCCGCTCCTGACGATTACGCCTCCCCAAGCTTCTCCGACAAAGCTTTCCTTACTCTTTATGCTGGACGGGGTGGAAACGGCTGTATTTCTTTCTTGCGCGAAGCTTATCTAGCTGAGGGTCCTCCCAATGGCGGCGACGGTGGCCATGGTGGCAATGTCTACATCCAAGCAGCGCATGGCGAGACTTCGCTGCACAAGTTATCTCGCAAGCGTTTCGTGCGTGCTGGTCGCGGGAAACATGGTCAGGGGAGCGCAAAAAGTGGGACGCGAGGAGACGACATTATAATAACTGTACCTGTGGGAACAGTCGTCCGTGAATTAGAGCGTGAAGATCCAGTTGCCGACGAGGAGATGGATATGCGATTATGGCGAGCTCAGCAGAAGCAGAAGAGGCGTGAAGAACACCAAGCAGCTCTGGAACGAAAACAGAGGCAGGAACACGAAGAAGATATTCATGAGGAGGAAGAGGAGGAGTTTGAAGAGGAGGAAGAGGAAGAGGAGGACCATGACCCTGAGCGTCGCAAGTGGCTTCTATACCCTGGACTGTCCAAGACCGACGTCAAAAATACTGTTTTCCCCAAGTTACCCAAACGTACTCGACTACTCAAACAACCGCCTCCTACAATCCGTCTTGACCTATCTCGTCCTACTCCTACGCCTATTCTCCTTGCAACAGGCGGTATCGGCGGTTTGGGCAATCCTCACTTCACTTCGCGGGCACATCCTCGCCCAATGTTCGCTACCAAAGGCGATGATGCTGTCACTATGAAGATCGAACTGGAGCTCAAGCTCCTTGCTGATGTTGGCCTCGTCGGTCTTCCCAACGCTGGAAAGAGTACTCTACTCCGTGCCATTACAAATAGCCGTACTCGAGTGGGTAACTGGGCTTTTACGACCCTTCAGCCCAATATCGGCACGGTTGTTCTCGACAAGTACTCTGGCCGTCCTACCATCAAGAGCTATCGACGGTACCCTGCTCAGCTGGGTTTGCCAGAGGAGGTTGAGACTGAGCCGCGCACTCGCTTCACCATCGCCGACATTCCCGGTTTGATTGAAGGGGCGCACCTTGACCGCGGTCTGGGAATCGCTTTCCTACGACACGTCGAGCGTGCTGGCGTCCTTGCTTTCGTTATTGACTTGTCTGCTGGCAATGCAGTGGAGGCCCTCGACTCGCTCTGGCGTGAGGTTGGACTGTATGCCCAAATGCGTGATGAGGAAGAGGCTGATCGGGCAATCGAATCTAACATTGATTGGGATGTCACATCAGACCTGGGCGGCCCCATGAACTATTCTCCTGAGCCTGAACTTGACCAAAACTCGAAACAAAAGCAGTCATTGCAAATTGCCGGAAAGCCGTGGTTTGTTGTAGCAACCAAGGCGGACTTGCCAGAGACGCAAGAAAACTTCAAGGAGCTCAAGCAATACCTCGACAACATCACAAAGGGTGAGAAGCCACACCCAAGCGGTGTCGAAGAGGCATGGACCAAGGATTGCGCCGTCATTCCGGTAAGCGCAATTAATGGCCAGGGTGTTGATAGAATTGTACACTGGACTGTAGGATTATTAGATGAGTAGGCGATGGCGTTAACATGAGCCAAAATTGTAACAATAGCATGACATCTACATGAAGCCTTACTAAATACTGTGAGAAGCATAGGATCACAGCGCAACAAACATTCGGCAAGAAAGTGTAACTGCTAGGATCTTAACACAAAATTGTATTATCATTTGTATCGGGATTTCATCCTCGTCGTAGTTCAAACTGTAATAACACCAAACTAACATCAAGCAGTTGTACATATCGGGACATCTTTTAAGCCTCTGTTTTCTCCTCACTCTCTGCCTCCTTGGCAGGCTCTGCCACGGAGTCGGTCGCGATCTCTACATCAGCAGTCTCCTCGGGCGATGGCAAATCGGCAACATCAACTTCCTCCTTGACCTCCTCGGCCCCCTCGACAGCCTTTTGCTGGTTCTTTTGTGCGACGATGTTGATGAGAGGAGATGTGTCGTTGAAGATACGTAGCAGCATAGCGGATCGGTCCTCCTTAGGAAGCATGAGGTTGAGCGAGTGAATGCTCTTCCACAAAGGCAGAGCCATGCGCTCCTTAAAGTCAGGATCTGAACCATCAGGCTCAATGCGCAGGACAGCGCAGCCCATGCCCATATCGCGAACGCGCTCGCCAATCTCGTCGAAGCGCTCGTACTTTCCGTCGTTGATACGAGGGAACATCTCGATGAGGAGCTTGCGGAATGTCTCCTTGTTGTGGAGGTGTACAACACGGGGCTCGCCGACGTAACCCTGGAGGATGGGCATACCCTCAGCCTGGATACGCCATCTGCAGATATCTGCCGAGGGCGCATCTTGCTTCATGTACATACGGACGCCACCGTGGATGAACTTAATGCCACGGCCCTCGTTCTCGATGAGGATATCGCGAAGGAGAGCGCTAGTATAGTATATAGCCTTGGCAGGCTCACCCATCTCGTTTCGCACCATGTATCGGTCAACGGGGAATCGCTTTGAGATGTGATAGAACTCCTTGATGTTCTGGACGGTGGGGTGGGAGACGTCTAGGTACTTGAATGCCTCCTCGACGGGACCATTTCGGCGAGGTTTGCTGCCTTCCTGGCTCACTTGAGCAACAGGAGTTGCGGCGGCCGAGGGCTCAGCAGAATCAGTCTTGACCTTCTTAGCAGGCTGATCTTGAGCTTCTTCAGACTCGAGAGAGCGTTTGTTGCCGTTCGAAGAGGCGTCATCCATAACAATATCCTCTTGGCTCGCGTCGACAGCAACCGGCGCTGTCTCGATCTCGGTCTTCTTCTCAGCCTCCTCCTTGGCGGGTGCCTCCTCGGCGACCTGCTCGCTGGGAGTGGCCTCAGCAGGAGTTTCTGTCTTAACAGGCTGCTTAGCCTCTTTGCCCTCATTCTCGTTCTTGGCCTTGAACTCGGTCTTCTTCTCAAGAACTGTGATGAAGAAACCACCGGTATCCTGCATGTGGGGGTAGACTCGCATGCAGCGCTCAAGAGGCAGATCAGCACACTCAGTACCCTCAAGTCTGGGGAACATGGTCTCAACAACGCGTCCGGGAATGACACCTTCGGCGTTCTCCTTGGCAAAGTCCTCGACCTCCTTCCAGGAGCTCCAGACTCTGGCGCTCTTGTCCATAATCTTCCAGTCCTTCATTCCGGGGGCTCGCTTGAGGTTGGGGAGCTCGTTGCTGCAGTCGACAATCTCGACGTTTGCGGGACCACCACATCGCTCAATAGCAGACACAACGACGGACTCGTTCTCGACAGGGTTCATACTGCAGGTGGAGAAAACGACTCGGCCACCAACCTTGAGCAACTGCAGAGCGCGCACCAAGATTCGGATCTGTGTCAGGTGCAGGCCAAGAGCACTACCAGGTTGCCAGTCTTTCCAAATGGCAGGGTTCTTTCGCAGAGTTCCATCACCAGAGCAAGGAACATCAGCCAGAATGCGGTCGAACTTGAGGTAGGTGGGCTTCTTGTTGTCCTTGGCGGGGAGTCTGATGGAGGGGAATTGGGTGGCATCGTGATTCGTAACGAGAAGGTTCGGGGACGAAAGCCGCTTGAGCTGATGGACAAGCATGTGTCCGCGCTTGTAATCGGAGTCGTTAGCAACGAGCATACCAGTAGCTCGCCCGGCGTCGCTAGGGTCGGCTTCGAGATCGGCCTCCATCTCCTCCTTGGTCTCGGCACCCAGATCCAGGCCATCCTCCTGGGCGTAAGATCGGAGAACCTTGCGCACGCGAGCCTCCTCACCCTGGTGGATCATCTCAAGAAGTTGCGCGGCCTTGCTTCCAGGAGCAGCGCACATGTCAAGGACGGTCATACCAGGGCGGAGATCCATCAGCAGAGGTGGGATCATACTGACAACCTCCTGTCGGCTAATGTTTCCAACGCTTGTCTCGGAAACCAGGAACTTCTGGAATGCGGCGAAGGGAGGGAACTTGCGAATGACGTTCTTGGGGGTAGTCATCCACCATGCCAGGTCGTCGGGGTACCAGGGCACGGGCTGAGGAGGCTCGACGGGTCGGCCATCCTGGTGCTCGATCTTGACGATCTCGGGGATGTATCTGGTCTGGAGAAGGTTCTTGACAGTGACGGCGTGTCTGGGCGCAAAAGTTAGCAAATGGACTCAATTTTCGCGTCAAGGCGGTTGCAAAACATACCCTTTGGAGCCGCAGAACCTGAAGCTGTTGGGCAGCTCACGTCTCAATGCCTCCCAGTAAGCATTCTTCTCCTCCTCGGGCAGTTGGAGAAGAGAATCGTAGAAGCGCTGGAGCTTCTCGTTCTCCTTGGGGATGGCAGGATAGTCTCTCCAGCCGCCCCCATCGCGCGCACCGCCTCGGCCACCGCCGCCGCCTCCTCTTTTGCCTTTGCCCTATAGCCGTCAATGTCAGTAAATCGTAATTGGTGCGGTTTTAGGGGTATTTTGTCGTACCCTGAAGCTCTTTTTACCCATTGTCGCAAATGTTTTGAGATGTGAAGACATCCAAAAATGGAATGCGATAAATTTTCTGGTTCTAATGGATGGCTGAAAATTGCCCCGCCACCCACCTGCAACTATGGAGCGCTAGTTATGCAAGGTTCAGCGCCTTTAGTTGATCATAACTCACTAGGCTTCTCAATCGAGCATAAAATCTTTACCTTTCCTAGAAGCAACCCTGTTCTTGGGTTATTAGGAAACTCACATGGCCGCTGAAAGCACAAGATTGAATGAATATCTCATTTACCCATTGCTTCACTCCAAAGCTTAGCGGTCGGTTGGCTTTTCTCACTTCAAACCCTAATGATTATGAAAATTAAACATTTCCATACTATGACTAGTAGCTTCCCCATTGGCATGTGACTGTCATGTGTAATACTCCTCCATTAATACTTACAAAATGTCAATATATTATCAGATAATTACTAGAATTTCTAAATTCAAATACTCATTCTGTTATGTTATCTTTTAACTTCTCAAAGTAAGTTATGCCTTGCCTATATGCCATTGACTGATCTTGTAAACTTCGGCCATAACATCTCTCAAATTTCAAATTGAGTCTTCTGCATAGGTACCATCAACGAATCAACCTCGATCTACAATTGTTATCAATATGTTCACCTGTCTTTAAATCATATATATATATCCCACTTGTGAGATATTGTAGCTACATAAAGTCACTCTCTATCCTTTCAACTGACATTTTTGAAAATTGCAACCCTGCCGTCTTCCTCGTTGCAGAAAAGCAACCAAAAATATAAATATCATTAAGAAGTAAGTAGTTAGAAGTTGTTCTATCTGAATTATCAGAAGTTCGTACGGTCATTCTCTGTAGTTATTTGGTTACCTACTTTCTATGTGTTACAAGCCGATATCTATGGTAAGCCGAGGCCGAAGCCGAAGCCGAGCCTGTGGCTTCAACACCTCTCAGTGCATCGTTGGAACCGACATGCTCTCATTTGTGACTCTACAACCAACTCTAACCTCATGATTCTGCAACATTTTGCTGTGGATATCTTTTTCGACTAATTGTATTTATTTGACTTGCATCCCAATCCAGTGGGTATGACCTTTGCTTCTTGTCATTTCCTTGCACAGAATCGTCCCCATATTCAAAAGATCACGCTACTCGTCAAGATATCATGAGCAAGGCGCATCAGAAGTCGTCTCGGCGACCGAATGGGCGACTAGAAGCTTGTGATCAGTGTCGGTCGCGTAAAGTTGCCTGTGATCACAGACGACCCAACTGCGTGAGATGTCAAAAGAGGGGAGATATTTGTGTTTACACAATATCAGCATCACGGACTGGAGTCAGGAGAACGACTCAACCAAGCCCAGAGCTACTGAGTCCATCAATGTCAGAAACAAGAAATTCCCAGCCCGTCACGCCCATGATACGAGATTATGCTTTCAGTCCCGGGTATCTTGGCTTCACAAGTTACAATTCTGCCTTTCAGGGAGCCCGCGAAAGTCTATCCGTTCCGGCGACAAGCCTAGACCCTTTTGGCACTGATATATCAAGTCCCATAAATGAGGATATATGCTTACGAAGATTGCCTTTGCCGACACAGCAAATGTGTCTTGTTGTTCTACAATACCTCCCAGGGCGGCCAGAGGCACATATGGTATTCCATGATGAACCGGGTCACGAATCCACAACATCATGGTCTCATGCTGCTGTATCGAGAATAATTACTTCTTTGCGGCAGCTTTTCCACCGATTCGGAGGTAGCGAGTCCTTTGACGAGAAAGTTGCTGATATTTTGTGTCGTAATACTGCTCGACCAATACAGGATACCTTTGACAATTTCGATGACTGGATAGCTCAGTTCTGTGGACAAAATATTCGATGGGAATCAATAGGTCTGTTATGGGCACATGTTGAGGGCCTCTCGGATGCTTTGTCGACGTTGAAGTACCGCCAACTCAAGTGGGTAGAGGGGAAGCGATCTTCTGTCGTTTCACACGAGCATTTACACTACATCATCGAAATATCACGCCAATTTACAGCTGGGAACGATATGCTGCTCGATCTCTGTCGTCGACATGCCGCGCTTGCGACTCTGGTTTATGGCGATGCAAGCCCCGTATATTGGAATGCACACAGCCTGTGTGTTTCAATGTTACTCTTTCTTGGTCGTCACGCTCCAGAAACATCCAAGTCTCAACGAAAGTCTGAAAAGATTTCATTCTGTGTTGAAAACAGACGTTTTCTATACTGCTACATCTTTGCCAACGACAAGTCTATGGTCTCATTTACTGGCAGACCACCACTCCTCAGTCGCCGTTATTGCTCATCTCAAGCCCCCTTAGACTTGTCTGATAGCTGCATGATATCAAAAGAATCAATGACAGAGGAGTTCGAGGCTTTGGATGAATGGGGCTGGAATACCAAGGGCGAGATCCATGCCAACAGTTATATACGAGCTCGCTTCTTAAAGTCCTATCTCTTGGACGAAGTGATAGAGATTGCACTTTGTAATGACACTCACGTCACGCTTGATTATCTTGAGTAAGTAATTCGATGGCTAGGGCTTATACATATTCGCTAAGATGAAACAGAAACACCAAGGCTCGAGTAAACCAGTTTTTCTTCGAGATGCCATCGCATTTGATTTTTGCCTACCAAAATCTTGATGACCCGGATCTTGATATAAAAGTTCTTTACTTGAGAATCTTGCTCTATTTGAGCCATAAGAGGGATATCTTCGTGGTCGAACGACTGTTGATCCAGCATGGGGCGATCGATGATGGCTCTTTGCTGACAACCAGTTTTGATTTAGTCAAGGTCACAGTTGTACTTTGGATACACAAGAACAAATTCGCTCCTATGAGGCGAAATTTTGAATGGCTAGTAAGTACGTACAGCTCTCATCGTTGAGCGTTTTTCTAATTTTGAATAGCTAGTTGCGTATGCTGCTCCTGGGGGCGGCATTCTGTGTCAAGAGTTACTTCGGCCAACTTTCTTTGGTGTTCACCCTCTGAATCCTGCTCTTTCAAGATCGAGTATCGTGCAGCAACTCAGCATGCTTGTTGCTTTCCTAAACTGGGTCGGGCCAAGCTCGCCAAATAGAGTGGTTTGCAGTGATTGCGAAACTATCATCCAGCGTGTGCTTGATGAACACTTGAATACGTCGCCGACGAATGATGCGAGACTGGAGCCTTTGGGCCAAGGCTTTCCTCGTTCTCTGGGGTTCAAGTTTGAATTGTTGAACACATTTGAATGGCTAAATGCTGCAGAGATAGGTGCGACTGATCGTTAATAGATGGCTAGTAGGCAGCAGAAAGGTTGGCCTCCAAGCTTTAGATTAGAAAAACAAAGAGCTTAAGAAGTATAGGTAGTCTAAGTAGCCCAAACTGGCCCACTAACTTCGTCTCTTGTGCTTCTAGCGCGACCAACTTTTCTAGTACCCTGATCGATAGGCAATACAGGGGCTACTTACAATACTATGCTCTTCTGTTGTTGTTCATGCAAGTCAAAGAAAGCACATTCTTGGGCCACCGATTCTCGATTTGGGACATTGTGTAAGTTAAGTGGTATCTTTATTATCATCTCTCCCGTAGGAGGTCGTCTATAAGCTCATACAAAGTCCAGTGGCTAGTCTAGCTAGCTTTGACTTGATAAAATGCCAACCAGGGCATGAATCATAAAACACAATTGACTAACGCAGAGAAGATCTACATCATCAATCCACCGAATAGACCGGCCATGGCCATACCGGCAGTCATCAGACCCCAGCGGATCTCTCCCCTGGCCTCAAGACCAGCGTTGGCGTCTGAGGACTCTGTTGAAGAAGCGCTGGTCTCGGTGCTGGTACCGGTGGCTTCGGCGGTACCGGAGGGGGCCCAAGTGCCGGTGGCAGTAGCAATCTCACCACCACCGGTAGATCGGGGAGCAACACTGTCATCAGAGTCCTCAGCAGCCTTGGCGAAGTTGGCGTAACTTCTTTGTCCGCTAGTACTGTTTATCCTGTTAGTATGCATAACCTTGACTGTAGAAGAAGCATGAACTTACGGAGCATTGATAGCACCAACCATGCCGTTCTGGCAGTGACCTTGAACAGCGCAGTAGTACCAGATAGGGTCCTCGGAGGTGACGTTGATAGTGAAAACCTTGTCGCTCATGCCATCCTTGACGTCCCAGGTGCCGCTGAAGAAGGCGGTGCTGTTCATGGGCTCGCAAGGCTTGGCGAAGCTGCTCTGAGCGACATTGTGGGTGCCCTTGTAGAAGTGGAATTCGACCGTGTCGCCAGCCTTTGCGATGGTCTCAGCGGGCTCGAATGTCAGACCACCATCTCCGACCTTGACCATGTGCTTAGCAGCCGAGGCGAAGCTGGCAGAAAGAGCGAGAAGAGTGATGGGAGAGGCATACATTTTGGCGGTTGTGTTGGTGTTGGTGGAGAAGAGGATTGAGTTGTTGGTGTGTTTGTAGAGTTGATTAAGTTGAGATGAGATGAGATGAGAGTGTGTGATGTTTGAAGCTATTCTGGAAAACGAGTGTTTCTTCCTTCCTCTTTATACTTGTTCCAATTCATACTTACAGACTGAAGTATACTTGACCCCGAACCCCTGTCACGATGTAACTGTACCAGATGCGACTGTTGGAAACTTTCTTACTAACCTCAAACAAGGGTGAAGCACAGGGTCATGTCGGCCGCTCACAGCCTCAGCCACTCGGCATATGTATCAAATCTACTAGTTCGGATGGTTTGATACTCCGACCTGAGTTGTTTTGGCTTTCGGATAGACGGCGCTAGATAAAACCAGACGTTAAACGAACCCGAGACTCTTCGTGTAGCATCACTCAACTCCATGCCGCTTACCAGTGACCTGGCCCTAGCCTGATCAATTGATCGAATTGGCTTTCTTTTTTTCTTGAACGTCGGCAATTCAATGCCGTATAAGCGGGCGCGCCCTGAGCCAGGCATGCTATACCGTTTCGAAAAATAATAGTCTGGACGCCATCGCCGTCGTGTGCAGGACGCCATAGGCCTGGCGCCTCGAAGGGATTTGTCACAGGTCGAGCCTCATACTCTGTGCCTGACGCTCAAATCTCCTTGGATCTTACGGGGAGATTCGAAACAGGAGATAACTCGCACCGCAGCCGAAAACGTGCCAGTCGAGTTGAAACTCCTTGGCTTAGTTAACAGCCATATTATCGTGTTTCTATCTGTACCCGACCCAATAATGTTAGGTTAGGGTCTAAAAGTTTCATTACCGAGACTAGTACCCCGGATTTTAGTCTTGGCGCGCGTGGCAGGCCATTGACATACTTCAATGCATTTTTTACAGTTATGGGATGTTTTTGTTATTGATAATCACGAGGCCTCCGGTCTAGAACGATTCAGGATGAATCTCCTTACCCACTGCATAACAAGCTCAACGACAGTTGTTTACCAGCAACCGCCATTACAACTAGCCAACTATCAGGCCGGTAGTGTACTGATCCAAACACGAGAGCTAGCAAAGATTGGTGACACTTCCATCAACAATAAACAAGGATTCCACATTTGGGTGCATACAGTAAACAATAAACTTTGATCAGCGCGATCTACCTCTGGTCAAGGCATGGCAACTGTTCTAATGTCAACCGTAGACTCCACCACTGTTGATGTGACCCAACAGTGCAAAGAGACACTGATTCTCCCTCCCAACGTTTAAGTCCAGATATTACAACGTTTAATATTATCGAAATCGGTGAGATACCCAACAATTTCCCGACCTAGGCTATAGTTATACCGGCTCTATTGCTATAGAATTTTATGTTTCACACAGCGGTCCTTAATGACAATTTTCCCATGCAATATCCAAGCGATGCCTCTTACCCTACAGCTAAACCAGACCTCGATGTTAGCTATGATTTTAATCATTTTGCTTCCGGGCATAGGATCTCAAAGTAGAAGCTGTAAGAATTAAACTTCACACTTGTCAGCATTGTCAACGGGACATACGTAGGCCTGCGCCACGACTGACAGGTTTGTAAGATGTTAGTAACTGTTAGCTAAGTATTTTCATTTACTGGCACCGGGAATCAAGGCATTTTGTTGAGAAAATGGTCACTAAATATCCCACTTCGGCCGATATCTAGAGGTGGGATTGAACATTGAAGTTATCGCCAAGTACACATCAAACTCAAACAAGATGACCTCTCCACTTGTGGCCGAGTGACCAGGCCCTGACCATCTCGGAGCTTCCTACTCCCGAGCGGCTTCACGAAGTCACGTGCTTTCGCGGGTCACTGAATTCTGCCAGCGCGCGCCGCCTTCATAATCACTCTCGCACGGACCACCATCAAATTTCACTATATAGTCTCGGCTTCCCGCTAACCTTTCCTCTTCTTTTTCTTTTCTTCTTCATACTTACCTTGTTCCGAGGAAGCCAGCTCACAAATTGGCTTCTTCAGCATGGAAGGCCTGCATTGCACATCGCGGAGTCGTTTCCTTGCTCTATTGTCCTTCGGGGCCATAGGGGGCGCAATTTTTGATTTTAACCTTTCATTATGTGCCCAGCTTGATGCTGGGTTATGAAGAAGGATGTTGGTTGTGAATCTGTAGATGATCGATGCGATGAAGGCCGGGTAATCAATCGCAGTTGTGGGACTGGTCAAAAATACACTGACGTGGTCGATATGCATTGGGGTATCTTCTATGTGCTGCAGGCGGCCAAATTAGTATTAGTTGCAGCCAGAGTAGGAGAATGATGGCTAAATGGATGCACACGGAGACTTTTGTAATCACGCAAGATGTATCTATTTACCTGCGCAGAGTACAGAGTTATAGGTTATCGTGTGATTGTATTGATTGTTGGTACACTTTAGGTGCTATTCCCAGTATTACATTCTTCTCCCTTCAATCTCCCAAGTCATCGTGGCATCGTGTTTATTGGCTTTTCGTCGTTGATCATAATTTATCGCTTCTTCCACTGTCCAGCGTCCTCGACACCCTTGGAGATGCTGTCAAGCCCTCCCTGAACTCCAGTGCCGATGTTGCCAACAGCATCGCCGATGGGCTGTCCAGTGCTGCCAGTCGCCGCGGTAACGGTATCGCCAACACCGCGAGTCGCAGCTCCAGTAACGTTGCCAACTGTACGGCCGAGACCACCGACGGTGTTGCCCAAGGTGCTGGTGAGGAAGTTGGCGGCTCCTCCGACTGTGTCACCGACATTGCCAGCGGCGCTATTGCTCTTGTTGTTGTTCATAATGGCGGTTGATGGAAGTGATGAATTGGTTTTGCTTGAGTTTTGTACTGAGGCTTTGGATCTTTCAGATTGAAGAATGAGGTACTTGAATTCAGCGGAAAGAGTATTCTCTTAAATGTTTATTTCTCATCCCCCTGGAATCTTTCGAATATCTGATGCATGCAAATCACCAGCCAAGTTACATCACCACATGACGTCAAAAACCTGCGAATCCGTCATATTCATTGGGTCAACCTCAGGGCACCAGCCACACAACTCTGACATCCCTCCCTCCCGAATATCTAAAATGACGTTCCTCGACACATAATTACGCATTCCGGTGTTTGAGATATGTAGAGGTGGTCCTGCTCCGAAATATTATAGGGTAGCCTGACTGCTCTAGCAGGCATCTCCAGACAACGCTCATGGTGAGCTTTTGATGTCATGCGCCTGGATCTTGGACCGACAAGACCCTTGAAAGAGACCATACACCTGCCAGATGTGGCGCACTCGTCCGTTAGCTGTCAGTCTGTGAGGCTGTGACTGGTTGACGACAGCATCACAACATCCCGGTGTAGCATTTGATTCGCACTCCACGATCTATGCGCGATGCAGGAAGTGTTGATTCGTATCGTCATGATTTCAGGATCTTGGCATAATTTATGACGTTTGAAGCATAGCAGCACGTGCTTGTACAGTATCTAGGCAGGAGGGGGAATGCGTGGAAGTACAATGTAAAAATGAAGGTGGGCATGATGATCATGCCCGGCTTTTAATGTAGATCTAAAATTCAAGCCCAAGCAAGGAATGTCACTATATCTGGTATCTAACCAATATTGAACTCGTCCGCCGCCGAGTTCATCAGCATCATACTCTTCTTCCTGATTATGTTCTGGTTTTGCCTCTCGTCTCCCGTAGCCTGTTCTGGGTTCTTCTCGACACCCTTATTCGTTCGCTTCTTGGTCTTCCTCTCCACACCCTGTCCGATGCCGCCAGGCGCTTCTCTCAAGCCGTAGCTCTTGGCTGTGTGTCCCAGGTGCAGTTCCGAAATGTCAAAGTGCTTCCTTTCCTCCTTGGTATGTGTAGCATATGCTCTGATGTGGGACTTGAAACCGTTTCGAGCAAGTTCTAGTCGCTTAGTATCTCCGAGCAGGCGCTGTTCGATGTGTAACTGAAGAGACTCCGCCTTGTCGTGGAAAGATTGTCCATCTTCTGGTTTCGCAGTCGTCTCAACCGGGAATTCGAGCTTGGTCATCATGCCCTTTTGCAGGATAGAATCGTAGGATTGTGGTGTTGGTGGTGTTGACGCCTTCATTAGCTCGATATAACCTTCTTCAGTTCCGGGGAGGAGGAATAGTATAGCGTCACCAGGTCTACCAGCACGAGCAGTTCGACCAACACGATGAATATGATCGGCGAAGCTGAACGCAGGATCGTACTCGATGACTAGATCGACCGAAGGAATATCCAGACCTCGAGAGGAAACATCGGTGGTGATTAGAAGAGATGGTGACTTGCAAGCTGAGAACGATTTAAGAGTTGCTGTACGGATAGGTTGTGATAAAGACCCGTGCATCCTGTGAAGAACAACCTCGGGGCTAGCGGGTGAGGTAATGTACGCCGCTTTTGACACTGTCTTCGAGACTGATTCTGCCTCCTTGGAAGCCGCCACAGGCGCCTCGGTGGTGTTGGGGTCTCGCAGCAGTTCGTAGTGAAAATCGACAGAGTCGGCGCAGGAAATAAAGATGATGGCCTTCATGGTCTTTCCGCGCCGGGAGAATGTAGACTTGAGATACGAGATCAGAGTAACGAGTCTCAGCTTGGCAGGAACCACAGAGTAGTACTGGTGAAGTTGTGCAGGTGCCTTCATCTCGCTCTTTTCCACATCGAGCTCCATATCCTCCTTCTTTGCCGCCAGGAATGTCGCATCCGCCAAACTCATTTCTCCTAGCTTCTGCACGTTCATCTTCATAGTGGCTGAGCATAGTACTGTAACTCTTCGTTCGGGGAGGGCCTTGAGCGGTGTTCCGTCGGGTAACGTGTTCGAAACGTCAACAGCCTTGAGTGCCGTGATAACTTTCTTCAAGTCCTCCTCGAAACCCAAGTCCATAAGTCGATCACCTTCATCGAGAATCAGCCATCGGACGGTGCTGAGGTTGAGCGCCTTGGTGTTGTCGATATGATCAGCAAGTCGTCCGGGGGTAGCGACCAAGAAATTGACACCCTTTCGTATGCGAGCCTTTTCTGCCTTTTTGGACTCTCCTCCGGTAATCGCTGTCGAGACAAGCCACGGGAACGGCCGGATGAGCTTTTCGAGAACTGTGTGGACCTGTTTGGCAAGTTCACGAGTAGGCGCAACAATGATTGCGAAAGCGCCCGAGTCTCGATGAATCTGGGCACCCCCCTTCACACTCAGAAGCAGAACGCGATGCAGGATAGGCAAAAGGTAGGCCAACGTCTTTCCGGAACCAGTTTCGGCCTGTACAAACGCATCGGAGCTGCTCGTCAGCATGTGAGGAATGACTTTATTCTGGATGGCCGTAGGTCGCTCGAGGCCCATCTTGCCAAGTTCGTCAACAAGTCGTGCAGATATTGTCAAGGTACCGAAGTTGGCAACATCTGACAGTGGCGCGTTGGTTGCTTCTGGAGCAGACCATTCCTCCTGCTTTTCTTCTGCGTCGGTCGTTTGAGCGGGATTGAATGAGAAGAGACGCGAGATAACTTGTTTCGACTTGCCGTCTGATTGCTTGTTCCTAGATTGGCCTGACGCTCCTCCGTGGCCGTCGTTGTCGGAATGCCTTGGTCGCGAAGCATATCTGTTGGCTGAATTATAATCAAAGCCATCACCAAAGTTCCCATCACCTGTCCTCTGGCGTTTTGAGGATCTTCCCTCATCAGGTCCATCTGTTGAAGATTTTGGCTGAGACTGTTGTCCAGAGGCTATCCTTGCTGACTTCTCAGCCTGCTTCCTATCGCGCCAGCGTCCGCCTTTGAACTTGACCTGGGGCTTTATAGGGCCAGACCCTAAGTCGAAGTTCAAAAGCATCCCATCATCGGCCATCGTTGCGGTGTTGTCGAAGTTGGTTTACAGAGGTTATACGTGGGGCCTGCGATATTCTCAATAGTAGGTACAATGAAGAAAAAATATTAAGTGGAGAAAGACTATCTTATCGCTCATCTATCGATAAGGCACGCGACCGCGGTCTAGATCTCAAGGATCTACAATTCTTGTCATGATGTACAGATGAATTGACCATAGAGAAAGCTCTTCGCGAATCGGAAGTATGATGATCATAATGGAACTGGAAATGGTCTCGTGAACACTAACCGAGGGGTACTTGAATATCCCGAGACAGCCAAGATAACAGTATTCGAGAAATCCCAGACTTTGGAGTGTCAAGTGATAATGAAGACCTTGGGTCATTATCGCCAATCGTGTATCAAAATCCTCCAAGATTCCTCAAGAGGAAATATATCGATACCAAATGGCGCCGAAAGTTGAACAGGAGTAAGGGAACACATCCATGATCCCGTAGAATCGCGAAGCTGGAACCGCGTATAAGCAAAGGGACGCCATGCAAATGCAGAGTAACGCAGTCCTTCAGGTGATAATGCAATCTAAATCTACGGGAGTGTAAACTTTCAGTAAATTAGTGTACGTCAGAGTGCTTGTATTCATGACAAACAGGTTGAGTTACACATAGACAGCCAAAAACCTGATAGATCCGGGGCATCGAATAGCTCAGGCATAAGCAACTCGTAACTTTGGTCCGAGTATATAGTAGCGCCGGAGATTCATCAATTTCGAATTCCGGTCCGGATACTGCTACAGATTGACAAGTGATGATCGTCTGTACTGGACCGCCAATCTCCAATTCTCCAAAATCTCCAATGTTTAGACGGATATTGATGGAGTTAAAGAGGCGAAAATACCGGGCTTGTGTCTTACACCCGATCGGACTCGGCTATTTACCTCTAGCGAGAGAGTGACAGGTCAGGGATCAAGAATTGTCATCATCAGCCAGGTATCGAAATCCATATTGATCCGCAGCATCCGTTCAAAACGGGTCTTTTTCGTTGATGGGCAATCCCATGTGACGGAGCAAAATTGCATTTGTAGCCCTGTAATCCTAACACGGTACAGCACAGTACCTTGTCGACGTCGCCACAGCGATGACTGTTTAACTGTATCATGATCAAGCCTTGTTGTTTTTTACTTCGCAGCTAGGGCAAATAGAGGAGCTGACGGAGGGCGGAGTTGCACTAACCCCCCCGGAGGTGAGGCTGGTGTACTGTAACTTTGGGGGCTGTTCTACACTTGGCAATGGAATTTTAAGCAGCTGACGATATCGGTTTTCACACACAGCATGTAGATTTTAAAGTGGTTTGCCACACCTTGTACGTTGACACTGAAATTTGCTATCACACTTGATCGGTGTCAATGATGTGATAATCCAA